TCTAGGCTTTGCTTCTTGATTATGGAATAAAACCCAGACTCCTGGGGCCTGTGAAGGCTTGGATGTACTCTGGCCTCACTTCCTGCACTCTGACTAGCAAGGCCCCTTGCAAGCCTCCGTGCTGGTCCTGTGCTGCACCTCTTGCTGAAGCCCCAGCACTTGCCTTCTCCTTATCCAGTAGTATTTTGCTTAAGTATCCCCTGTTTAAATGTTATTCTGGTGTTGGTGCCATAGTTGCTTCTGCAGTGATGCACAGTCCCCAAGTTCCCTCTGTGTGGCTCCATTGTGTGTTTGCCTTCTCCATTTCCTCCATCACCTCCGCCTGGGTTAGCTGGCACTTCACTCCTAACTTACCTTTCCAGGCCTAGCCTTTTGTAGACTGCCAGGTACACAGTAGGTCCATATTATGTGTATGGAGACCACCTGGACCTGCCTGCCTTAGGCACAACTGTCAGTCACCTGAAACAACAGCTGGAGTTGACCTAGAGCCCATTATAGGGCTGTGACAATAATTTCTTCTCATTGATCATCAGCTGTCTCAAGCTCTGGAATTACTTCCTGGAGCAGAGCAGTACCAATGTCCTCCCTGTTGGTTGAGTAAGCTGGGCATGAACAGTGCCAGCAGTGTTCAGGAACTGGAACTGGGAAGGGGTATGATGCTGAAACAGTGCTAAACTATGGAACCCCATGGGTCTCCTTTGGCTGGAACCTGGCCACTGGGGATCCTGGTAATGATGTAGGCAGAGAGAAAATTCTCCCCGAAGGACCCCACTTCACTGTGAGAAAGAGATTCCTGAGTGCTTTTTTTTTTTTTTTTCCAAGATAAGTTTAATTTTAGGTGATTAAGACTCCCAGTGTGGTTGTGAAAGGGAACGTAGTTTTGGAATTTGAAGCATTATGCACATTATCTGAGCTCTACTTGCTTCTTGGCTGAGAGCCCAGGGAGGCAGAAGGCTCCTCATCTACCTATATGTTCTGCCCCTTTAACCTCCTGAGTGAGGACAGTGGTACAAAGCAGGAGCCAGCCTGTGGTGCTCTGTCCACTGAGGGCTGGCCCTTGGACACCACCTTTATATATCTTCTATTCTGTTGGTAGGAGTAGGAGAAAAGGCAGAATTGCTTCAGCCACCCTGAGCTTCTGCCTAGGTGCACTGTCTGGGGAAGGGTCAGGGTCTGGGATTCTCCTGTGATTGGGGCTTGAAGGTGGCCCTGTGGGTGGGTTTTGCAGTACTTTATCCTGTGCTAAGCATTGTTCAAGTACATTCCAGTGAGGCTGTGAGAGAGGAACAATTAACTACCCCCATTTCACATATGAGGAAACAGGGAAAGAGAGGTGAAGCCACTTATTCAGGATGAACCCGCAGGAAAGAGCTGAGCTGGAATTTGAGCCCAGGCCACCAGGGGCCTTGTTCTGACCGTGATGTCTGTACCCAAGGGCAGAGATAACCTAAAGGCTGGACCTGATCCATAGATGTTTGTTCAGCCTCACAGTGGTTTTCTTTATCTATTTTTAATTGAGTTAGCTGTCAGCACAAAGGTCAGGAGATAACACATAAAAATTTCTTGTCTTGCTCTCCTAAAACAAGTCCACAACTCAGAAGCTTCTGGTTCAGATCATAGGAACATGCCCATGGCCATCTCGCTCCAAAGAGGCTTCCCCGTGCGCCCAGGCCTGTCCGATCCCTGCCAGACAGGAGCCTGGATTACTCCAGAGCTGTGGGACACTGGCCCTTCCTCTTTGCTCTCCTGCTACCTCATTTCTTCCTCAGGCCTCCCTGTCCTGTTCCTGGTATTTCAGACTCACCAAGGTAGGCAAAATTAGCTACAAGAGCAGGCCCTCAGTGAGCTGATCCTACTAGATTTCACTGCCTCACGATTTTTGTGAAGTCTGTGGTATAACAGATTAGATGTTGAATCTTTGACAAATTTATTTTGGTGCCTTAAGATTTCACAATACCAAGGATTATTTCTAGTATTCCAAGTATTTGCTAGAGACATGGGGTATATGCCTACATGTAGCGTGCCTGTCTCCCAGTTATGGGTCCTTCATCAATGTGGGCTTAGTGCCGCTGGTATGGTGAGAGGATCTTGAAACCTGGAAATAAATGTGACCCTCACAGAGGTCCAGAGTTCTGGTTCCTACTTCCAAGTCCTTTTTTCTTTCAGTTATACTTCCCTTATTTGGGAGGCATAGAGACAGTGCCATTCTTACCTAAAAGACTTAATGAAAAAATGTAAAGTCATGGCTCTATTAAAATCATGTAAAAGATAGTGTTTGTATGAGGTTGGAGAAGGCCATGACAGTTTCTGGGAGGGGAGTGGGCAGGGGGAATTAAGTTTTGCTGTACATAGCTTTGGATTGTTTCACTTGTTACAAGTTTTTATTACTTAATTCATTAATATATAATAAATTTTAATATATTTACATTATATCATTTTGTTAAAGGTATATTAGAATGACACTGTCACAGAACATTCTCAGAAATGGTTTATGGACAGGGTGTCTAGACCTCCAGGAGGGAATGAACATTTGTCAAGACTACTGTGGTGATGGCTGTGAAGGAAATGACATTTCACAGTGAAGTGCAGTTGCATTACCTTGATGTCCCCTTCATCCCAGCAGGGTAGTAGGGGCCTTAGGGGCCTACAAGATGGTCTTCAAGGAGAGTCTTCTGGAGCAGCCTCAGCCCCTGGTCACTCTGAAGCCCCTGTGGGGATGAGGGCTACCAGAGGACTTCAGCAGGGAGTGCCTTGTAGATCTCAGGGCTGGAAAGGAGCAGACTGGCCTGTCCAATGGAAACACAGTGTATGTCACAGATGGAGTTTAAATCTTCCTAGTAGCCACATTTAAAAAGGCAAACAAATGGAATTCATTTTCTTTTAACCCAGTTTACTCCAAATATTATAATTTCAACATAAAATCAAGAGAAAATTATGACAGATTTTATATATTTTTATACATCTTTGAAATCCACTGTATACCCCCACTTGTAACACATCTCAGTTCACATGACCACATTTCAGGTGCCCAGTAGCCCCATATGACTGGTAGTCAGTGTACCAGGCAGTACAGGAGTAGACCTTCCTGAGTGAGAACAGGAAATTGTTTGTGTAGTGATCAGCTTCAGGGAGTCTGTCTTGCCCAGTCTTACGCCAGGGGTGCCTTTGAAACAAATGGTCCTCCTGCTGGAAAACCCTGGCAGTAAATGTTTGTGTAACAGGCCAAGGGAGGAAAGCAGGAAACTTGTAACTCAAAATGCTAACAGTGGGTTTTTTTCCAGATAATGAACTAGAGAGTGTGTTGTTGTTTTTTTTTTCCCCCTTTTGGCTTAGCTGTACTCAGAATTTTTTCTAGTGTTCATAGGTTTACCATTAAAATCACTTTATATTATATATATATATATATATATATATATATATATATATATATATATATATATATATATATATATATATATATATATATATATATATTTCAGTGAAAAAACAGAAGGCCGAAGGGTACATACTTCCTTCCCCCATGCACTCACCCATATTCATGACACCCTTCAGCTCTTAGGCCTTTAATGTCACTGTGGTTATTTCTAAACTCAAGGTTCACCAAGGTAATAAGCTCTAAAATGAAGGTGCTCGTAGCAACCAGCTTGCCCCTGTCCCACAGTCCCCTTATTTAAGCTATTGTGCTTACTGCATGACTTGTGATGAAAATATTGTGACTAGTTGGTGAAAATATTGTGACAAGCTAGTGAATTTAGGGTTGCCATGGAAGCCTTCCACATTCATTGTCCTCAGTGAGATGGGCTTAGCTACAGGGGCCACTGCAGGTCGGCCTGTTTCCTTGGTTTCAGCTCATTTTTGGCCTGTCATTCAGCCATGGTGCAAATTTGAGCCTCAGCATAAATATTGCCCAGGCATTTCAGGCAGGGATCCTACCAGATGGGGCATCTCAGTTTCTCCTTTCTTGCTTTGAGAGCCTGCAATGAGAGCAAAGTTTTTTGGGGTGGTGACATCAGGATTGTTTCCCAGGTGACAGCTGGTTTTTGGCAAATGGCTCTGCCTCCTCCAGAGGTCACTAATGGTCCAAGGAATGGGCAGGCCCGTTCCTGAAGAACCCAGTCTGGCCTTCCTTCTCCTAAAATGTGCCTAAGCTTCCTCGAGGGAGAGCTGGACATTATGTTTGAACCTGGGTGTGTGGGAGGCAGCCTCCTTTTCCCTAGAGCATCAGAGAAGCAGCAACCTTGGGGACATGGGGCTTTTGCTTTCCATGCTTCTCCTGTGACTCCAGAGGTGTGGCTGTAGGCTTCTGTGTTTGTGGGAAATGACAGGCTCACTGCTCAGTCAGGACCCACAGGCCATAGGGCGTGGTCATGCAGAGACCTGCTGGGCTGTTTGAGAAAAGAAGGAAAAAAGAAGGATCCTATCTGAGAAAAAAGGGAAAAATACCATTGTCTTGATTAATTGTGTTCATTTTGATGACAAGGGTAAGGAGGATCACCCCCAACCCAGGAACTCCCCACCTTTCTTTACCTGGGCCCCCCCTTTGGCTGTCTTTCAGCTGCAGGGACCTCAATTATTCCATTTCTGAGCACAGACTGTCCCCAATTGATGATGGTTCCACCTATAGTCTTTCAACTTTATGATGATTCAGAAGCAATATGCATAATGAATTGCATGAGATATTCAACACTTTATTATAAAACGGCTATGTGTTTGATGACTTTGCCTAACTGTAGGCTAATGTAAGTGTTCTGAGCACATTTAAGGTAGGCTAGGCTAAGCTGTGATGTTTAGTAGGTTTGGTGTACTAAGTGCATTTTTTACTTAGATATTTTCAACTTATGATGAGTTTGTTGGGATGTAAACCCATCATAAGTCAAGGAACCATACCCCCAGGCAACTGGACAGAGTGCTTGGCTCTGACTGGCCCCTGCTGCTTTGGGGTAGGACAGGCTTGGTTGTTTGTGTCTGTGTATAAGTCCCTGATCCTTCTGTCTGCACAGGGCCCCCGGACACTGACAGTCCTCTCTACCTCCCCTACAAGACGCTGGTCTCCACAGTTGGAAGCATGGTGTTCAACGAGGGTGAGGCCCAGCGGCTCATTGAGATCCTGTCTGAGAAGGCTGGTGTCATTCAGGATACTTGGCATAAGGTGAGCTCACCCTCCCTGACCCACATTCAGTGGTCTCTGCAGCTGACCTGGGTGGTTGTCTCTTCCCCCTCCCTCTCAGGGACTGTGAATTGTGGAGGTTACTCGGTCCCGGGGCTGGCCACTCCTGGCTTGCCAAGCTGCACAGGGAATATCCTCCACATAATTTTCTTGGCAGAACCCTGCTGCCCTTTCTCAAGCAGAGGCTGCATAAATGACCCTGCAGATCCTTTGGCTTCTGCCACAGCCTAGCCATGGCCAAGCCACTGAAACACACAGAGCCAGTGCAGAGCTCTGAGTTATAGGGAGCCTAGGGGTGGAACACAGGAGCTGGGGCCTAGCTGGTTTGAGGCCAGGGTTCCGGTGTGTAGGGACACACTGAGTAAGGGAACCCTGTAATGGGCCCAGAAGTACCTTCCTCCTGCTGTTGGCCAGTTCAGAGGCTGGCACCCACCCTCTGGTACTTTAGCGAATGAGCTGCCACCAGGAAGTGCTGTTTATTTGACCCTTAATCAGAAGTAAAATTGTAGGTAATTTTGATAAAGAATTTTGTGGCAGCTTAATGGTTAGAGATGTTGAGGAGTGTCTTGAGAGGCTAGTGGGGGTTCCTTCCCTCTTGACCCTTGCTGAGCTGTGATGTGTCATGTAGTCTCAGGGAATTGCTTATTCAGCATGGGGGTGGGGAGGTGGCAGTGGCAGGAGGTGTCCTGGCTGTGAGTGGCTGGAGAAGGTCAGGATTTTTTTTTTTTTTCTCCAAGGAGAGGTCTTGACTCAATTTAGGCTTTTGTTCCCAGAATATACTTTCCCTCCCATGGCTCTTATGCTTCAGCTAATGGCTATGGGCTGCACACAGCATCTTAGAGGTGGGCACTGAACCAGAAACAATGATCAGTGCCCCTCAGTGGGGCAGGAAGAGGACCTGACTAACATTGACTCAAGTTAATGGGAAACACCATGCTCCTAAAAACTACCTCAAAGATCTAGTGCTTTTGCCAGACAGCTTCTGTACATACGGGTCCTGGAGGCTGTGTTGCTAAGGCAGGGTGCTTTCGCCCAGAAGTATCTGGAGTCAACATGGCACCTGCTCATCGTGAAGTTTCTGTTCCCACTTCATGAGGACACTGCTCTTTTCCTGGGTCGAAGTCTGATTGCTGGGTTGGGAGGAACAAACCAAGTGTCTGTCTATACCTTCTGTTAACATGGCTCTGTGGACATTTCTAGGCCACTCAGAAGGGTGACCCTGTGGCAATTCTGAAACGCCAGCTGGAAGAGAAGGAAAAGCTGCTGGCTACAGAGCAGGAAGATGCAGCTGTTGCCAAGAGCAAACTAAGGGAACTCAATAAGGTATGGCTGAGGGCATGCCCTGTCCCGAGAGCCCCTGGATTGTGGGGTTCTTACACTGTAGCTCCTCGCTCTGGCCTGTCTATTCTAACTGCCCGTCAAACCAGGGTGCACTGCGACTGTGTGAAGCCTGAGGCCAGCCTCTGCAGCCCCTGTGGAGCTCTGCGGGGTAGTGGCTCCCTTCTCACAACAAAGAATGCAGGAACATTGAGTAGGGTTAGGGTCCTCAGTGTGTGCTGGGGTGAACCATAATGTCACTGGCCTGCCCCACAGTGATGGGCCATTGTTTTAGAGTCTACACCCTGAAAAGAGGATGGGCACAGTTGATCCACAATTGTTTTCCTGAGAATTGGAGGAAAAATATGTGGGGAGGTGGGCAGAAGGGCTGCTTTTCTCTGTTTCCTGATGTCTGTGAGGTGATCCTGCAGGGAAAGCCTGGCTCCTCGTGTTAGGTGATGGCTTGGTGTGTTAACATCTGTCCTCAGTGAACAACAGTTGAATAAGTCAGGACATATGCACAAAGGACTGTTCTCTCCCTGCCAGAACTCACTGAGGCTTCTCCTCTCTGCTTCTTCTGAGGAGAGAGTTGTGGTGCCCCAGCCCAGGAGCTAGGTTTTCCCAGTAAAATGCTGAGCATTGCTCTTGCCCTCTCCCTGTTTACCTGCCTCCCTGCTGGTGCAGTGGGTACAGGAAGGTGGCCTGTGCTTCAGAATGCCCCACAATGTCTGGGCTACAGCCTCTCCTCTGGACACCTCTATTTGCTCATTTGAGAAGAATTGGAAATGAGTCAGCCTGAGCTTTTGCCTTACATTGGAGGGATGCAGCTCCAAGCCAAATGGGAAAGTTTGTGTGGTAGGGGACAGCAGGAGTAGAAGATGAGCCTTTGACTTCTTACACTTGGTTAATGCTCTGCCCAGGAGAAGGAAAGAAAAAGGCAGTTGTCTGTAGTCTGTAGTAGAGTTTGGTTACTTGTGCCTGGGAGGAAGAGAGCTCTCTCTCAAGACTTTTCACATGTGGCCTTCACTTGAGCCTATCTTGGGTTGTTAAATACAAAGTGGCTGGAGCCATTCATCCTACTCCCATGTGCCAACTGAGAATGTCTCTTCCTGTTAGATGTGCCATATTGTGTCCTATGCCAGGAGCATTTATACCATGAAAGTGCTACAAATCAGAACCCTCCTGCCTGAAAACCAGCTGACCAGCACACTCCTGGTTAAGAGTCTGTGGTTTCAGGAGCCATTCTTTCATATCCTCTTTTGGACAAACTGAAAATTTGTTGGTACTCCCAAAGTAAACTGAGAGGAAACAGGAGTGAGTGTTCCCATAGCTGGCTGGCCGTATGGTTGCCTGGCTGGTTGCTTGTGCCTGCCACCTTGAATTTAGGATGGGTTGCATGTAAGATGAATGAATAAAAGCAACATCTGACAGTGATGCTGGCTTCTCTCTTCCCCATTGCTGGTGTCTCCAGCCACCGGGGGGCAAGTGCTTCCTGAAGAAGGAAGTCCCTTAGATACTGACCCTTGTGTGGGACACTTACTGTTATCCCTCCCTGGTGGCTGCTTTACCGGATTTCCAAAATCACAGTGGCACTTAATCTACAGACACTCTCCTCAGGTCTAGATGCATTTCCAGCCCTCCCCTTGTAGATCTCCCTGGCTGCCAGCTGCAGGGGCTTGTGAGTTTTCATTACTCATCTCGCCCTCTGGGAATCCAGCCCTCCCTCCTCTGACTATATCCTCTTCCTTGCAGCCAGAAGAGGTTCTCTTGTGCTCTCAAGTGCTAATCTGATCCTGAGAGGCCTTCTTTAAGCACTGCCAGTGGCTCCTAATCTCAGACTCTAGTCTATATTCCTTTGGTCCTCCTCTTCCTCTTCCATTAGCCTCAAATGCCCTTCACTGCCTGACTGGCGGGAAATTTTTTCTCTGTGCTTGAAGACTTAATTTACTGGACCTTGGGAATCCTTCTGGAGCCCCCATTTTCTTGTCTCAGCACAGAGGTCATTGTTGCAGTAATGTGCCATTGCATCGGTCCCTGGTGACTCTTGCTGTCTTGCTTGGCTCAGCCGAACAGACTGCTTGTCAGCAAGTGGCTGTCGAGGCCTGAGGCCAGCTAAGAGGATACCCCTGATGGTTATTGCATTGCCATCTTTCCTCCCCATGCTTCTGGAACCCATGGGTGTTGGGTACCTGCATTTCTCTGTTGGGAGTTTTGGACAGAGCTGATGTGTTGACTTCCTTCTTGTCATATTTCTTAGTCCACCACCACTGAGGAAAGTTATATAAGAAACTAAATTACTGAAAATGTGCAAGTTCCTCTTAATTCCCCACAGGAGCTGGTGAGAGGGCTAGGATCTGCTTCCCTCCCCACGTTTTCTTTGTCCTTGTGGTTTGTTCCCTGGACTGATCTATGCTTTGCAAATGGGTGAAGTGTTAGCAGAGTTGGGCTCAAGGACTATTTCAGGCACCAGCTGCAGGAGTTAATCACAGCCTTAGGCACCCCGAGATACCTCAGCCTTCTGAGAGTCTTCTGGGCATGGTTTGAGGAACCATGCATGGTTCTGGGGCAGCCCTTCTGGAAAACCATCTTTCTAGCTGTTGTCGTCTTAGGCACCAGGTACTCTGTCATGGGGTGCCTATCCTGAGGCAAAGCTCTGGACCAGATCCCATCCCATATTTGTTCACCTGGGAGATTGGGGTTTAACTTCACACAGTCAAGGAGCCCCTTAGGGTAGATGTGCTCCCAGGGGTGGGGTGGGAGACATTCTTGGTGGTAGACCTTTTTGATGGGAGCCACCTACTGTCCATGCCTCAGCAGGCCTTGGAAGCTCACACCAAGCAGAACCTATTCTTGGACTGGAGAGCAGAGTGCCATTTCTGAGCCAGCGGTGCTTGTGATGGTGCCCTGCCTCCTCTCCCAGCCCAGTCCCCACCACCACTGGGCATGCCTTTCAAGAAAATGAATCTGACCCTTGCAGCTGAATTAAGAATTTGAGAAGCAAGAAGAATCCTGGGATTCTGAGCTCTTAAAAGAAAAAGAAGCCAAGGAGGGTTAAACAAATGTCCTGAGGAAAAGCTGGTCTTCCTCTGCTCTTATAAAAAGCCCAGAGGTGAAAGGAAGGGAAATCCCATTGAATTCTGGTAGCCTTGGGATCCTGTTCCCAACAGGTTACCAGTTTTATGCCCTGAGCCCAGCCGGGTACCTGAAACTGCATGTGTCTTGTCCAGAGTGGGGAAGGCTGTCCCTAGACAGATACTTGGCACCAGTCTGTGGGTGTTCATTAGCCAGCAGAGATGGGCAGAGGGTGACCCACATGTAGCTGCACTACCTGCTGCTGCTGTGGCTCTGGGCGCTCTAGGGTCTCTCTGAGGTTTGGTTTTTTCTTCGAGGCCTGGATCCTGTTCTAGAAGGGGTCTCCCTGCATTGCTAGTGTGTGGCGTTTTGCTTGTGGGGCTGGCAGGGCATGTGTATTAGAGGAAGCTTGGTGAAACTTGGAATTCCTGCTAAATTGCCCTGTCCTACTTCTTGGGAGGTGCCAGGCCAGCCAGAGGAGTGAGGCACCTTGTCATTTCTCCCACTTTCTGGGACCCTTTTGGACTCACACAGCCCCAGGTTCCAGATCATCTCTACGATGTACAGTTGCTACCCTACCTGAGACAGATCTTCTTCCCAAGGCTCAGTGAGCTCAGCTTTAAACTGGGGATCAAGATCTTCATCTAAGAGAATCAAGTAAGACACCTGCTTATCCCAGAGGAAGTGTACAACATCAGCCACCCTTCCCATTTCTGTAGATAATCAGTGAAATGTTTCTGAGCCTGGACATCATGCTCCTGTGGGCTCTCACCCTGGGTGGAGCCAGGAGAAGGATTGTCTTCGAAAAGTGGGACCACTGGGTCCAAAGCAGGGGTCCCCAATCCCTGGGCTGTGGACCGATACCAGTCCATGGCCTGTTAGGGACTGGGCCATGCAGCAGGAGGTGAGCGGCAAGTGAGCATTTGAAGCTTCACTTGAATTACTGCCTGAGCTCCTTCCCTGCCCCCTCAATGCTTCTATGGGAAGATTGTCTTCCATGAAACCAGTCTCTGGTGCCAGAAAGGTTGAGGACCACTGGTTCAAAGGAATGCCAAACACACAGAACAGCTCTGGCACCCAGTGTCAACCCTGGTACTCCCAGCTCCTCTCCTGGCCTCCATTTCTATTCCTTCTGGGTCAGGAGGGACACTTTGGGCCTTTGGGGTGGGCCTTCCTGCAGCCCTAGCCTAGAAAGGGAGAGGGTTTCTCACTTTTCTGATTCACTGCCCAGGATGGAAAAGGGGCAAATCCTTGAGTCTCCTGAGACACTGGCATCCCAGTCACCCAGGCCAACTAGACCCACACCAAGTAGTTGCATCCTGGATGGAGAACACCTGCTCGCACTGTGATTACCTGCTTCCATAAGGCTTACATCCACTGCCTTTCCTTCTGGGATGACACAGATCCCAGCCAGCTTCTCTCCCTCCGCCTGTCCTTCCCACCTTGTATTCTGCCTCCACCTCAGCCTCTGAGTCCCCAGGCCCAGCATCCAGAGTTCATCGTGGCATCCAACACTGCTGAGAGCAGATACTCCCTGGCCTGGGGTAGATAGAGGGCCTGGATGTCAGGGACCGAGCCAAGTGGAGTATTGTAATCCTAGCAGGACCCATCCAGTGTCTGGAGAGCCCAGGGACAGCATGGTGTATTTGCTTAGCTCCTTTCTGTGTCCACCACATCCATTGTGACCAAGGCCTGACACCTAGCCCCTAACCAGTCAGGCCAGCAGGGTTTTCTGGGGACCTTTTGTCTCCTGCTTGCTGATTGCTGTGGCTGGCGTGGATCTGTCTGAGTGCTCAGGAAGAGGGGTCTTGTGGCTCAGCTCTGAAGCTCCTCCCAGCCCCAGCCAATGCCCTGGGTTCTGATGATCTTGGTCCCATCTGGTAAGCTGCTGCCCCTGCCTAACCAGCTCTCTGCCTTTTGTTTTCTCTAGGAGCTGGCAGCAGAAAAGGCCAAGGCAGCAGCTGGGGAGGCCAAAGTGAAAAAGCAGCTGGTAGCCAGGGAGCAGGAGATCACGGCCGTGCAGGCCCGAATGCAGGCTAGCTACCGGGAGCATGTGAAGGAGGTTCAACAGCTGCAGGGCAAGGTGGGCAGGGGTGGTGGGGGCACAGGTGGGCCCAGGGAGGGTGGGAGTGGTTCCCAAAGGGCAGTTCAGGATGCCCTCGGGGGTGAAGGTGGGGTGAGTTATGCAGAATCTGGTTCATTTTTGGAGGAAACAGCTGTTTTATCTGGCCAGACACTGGCAGCCAGCCTATCATGTGCGTTCAATGTTACTAACCAGGAAGATGTAACATACATTGTAAAGAGCACTTTTTGAAAACAGTGTGGTCCCAAGTGGCCAGCCCTGTGTCTCATTTCCTGGGTGCCTGTGGGTCAAGTTCTCAGCCTTCGTGTGACCCCAGACTAATGCTGGCTCTGCCTTTTCCACTTGAGGTTGGGAAGATCACCTAAAGCAAAAGGCCTAAAAACTGCACAGCTCTGGAATGGGGTCAGGGGAGGGCCTGTACAGCTTGGCCTGCATAGTAAGAACCTTTGGCCTCATCTGCTTAAACCTGCATTTTGCTCAGGGTGGGCCACAGGAGGCCAGAGGGCAGGAACTGAGGCTCCCTTGGGTTAGTTATAGGCTGTAGTTTTGGCTTTCTCAGACAAAGGAGGCCGAGTGTGTGGAGCATGTCTAGGACTCTGGGCTAAGAACTTTGCCACCTGGAGGCCGTAAACTGGAAGGCAGAGGAGTGAAGAGGTGTGTGGCTGGGGTTCACTGTTGGCCCCAAGCTCCTGTTGCTGGAGCTGTTCAGTTTTCAAACCTCTTGTTCTTAGAGGCCCTCCCTACCTCATGTGGAGAAGCAGCACCCTTGGGGTTTGGTCTGCAGGCTGTGATCTCACTAACCTTGCTCCAGAAGTCAGCTCCCTCTGTAAGGCCAAGCGGTACTCTGATACCCTATCAATGATTTTCAGATCCGGACTCTTCAGGAGCAGCTGGAAAATGGCCCTAACACACAGCTGGCCCGTCTGCAGCAGGAGAACTCCATCCTGAGGGACGCCTTGAACCAAGCCACAAGCCAGGTGGAGAGCAAGTAAGCTCAGTGCTCCCAGTTGGACTCTGTGACAGCACAGTCCGGGGTACTCTGGAGCTGGGCAGGGTTCCCAAGGCTCTTGCAAGGCTGCAGTGGGTGCACTCTAGTTTCTTACTGAATCTGGGGCTGGCTGAGCCTTCCAGTGCATGGCTGGCATCCTCTCAGCTCTCAGGCTGGCATCCTCTCAGTGGTCAGGCTGCAGGGAGAGGTGAGCTCATGCCCATGCCTATGTGATCAAGTGCCCTGCAGGTCCTGGCTGTGGCCAGCATATGCTTTTCCTGGGTGAGCAGATACTTTTTCCATGTCTGTTTTTCACAACATCCTGGTTTGAGGCTTTCAGAAACTCCTGATTGTGGCTCAGAGTATCAAGATCAAGTGGATTGTCTAAGATCAGAGTTTGATGTGGTGTAGGGCCTGAGCGTCTTGATTCTCCACTGGGGATATGGTCTCCTGTGCTGGTGGGACATGTGCTTTAATGCATTGGTGATAAGTACTGTTTCACAGCATACCAGCCCAGACTGCTGAGCAGAGTTCTTGATCTCAGTGTTGCCTCTTTGGACCTGAAGTTCTAGGAAGTGCACAGCAAGTGGGCCAATCCCAGAGGGCAACATGGAGCCTTACCATGTTCAGGATACCTTGGCATTCTTTTGATTCTCTAGTTTGAGCTTTATGGGCTCAACAGGCTGGCCTGGAGGAACCCACCCTGCATTTTCTTTTGATTCATATTTCTTTGCCTTCTCTTGGCCTGAAGCATCCTGAAGGGACTTTCTGGGAATCTGCATTATCCCTAGAATATCTCCCTATGCCAAGAGAACTGACTAAGGCAGAGAATACAGGCACTTGAGTGTGCTTTAGCTAGAAGTCAAGGGGATAATGTTGGCTCAGGATCTAGACCAGGGAGGGAAATCAGTGCCCACACCTCTGTTTTGCTGGTGGCCCTCACCTTCAGGTGAGACCTGAAGGCCACCTTTCCCAGGCTGGTCCATTCTCTCTAGAGGTCCCCTCTGGTTGTATGTGTGTACACATCATCTCCATCCTGGCCTGTTGTTTGGGTTGGAAGTTTGTGGCAATTTCCTCTCAGCAGCCATAAGCAGAAGGTGAACACGGGGATGGAGAAACACTCTGGCTTCCCCTTTCACATATTTGCTGTGGTTTCCATCCTGAGGAAAGCTTCAAAGCATGAAGACCTGGCAGCTGCTGACTCTGTCAGTCTGTGGAAACTGCCCATGTGGGATGGATATTCCCAGGCCCCTGCCAGAGCTGCAAATCAGTCCCAAGGGGCCTCCAACCCAGCCTCTCATCTCCCTCCCAGGGTGCTGGAGTCTGGCCTTTCCTCTGAGCTCTGTAGTCTTGAATCTTGGTACCATAAAGCAGAAACTGACAGCCCTGCAGAGGGCTCTGGATGGGCTCCTTGGTGCAGATGATGAAATCCAAGTCCAGAGGTGGGACGGCCTCTCAGCTCCCAGCACCAGACAGAGCTAGTCTTGGCCAGGCTTCCTGCCTCCCAGAGTTGTGGGCAGTCTTCTCTGGTGCTGTTTCTTGGCTGGACCATCAGTCCTGTCCTGGAGAGAGGTGTTTAGTGAAGGAAGCATGCTGATTACACTAGAAAAGGCAGTTGAGCTGCCACTCTTTTCCTGTCAAGCAAATCTTCTTCCCTCCTTCCTGAACTTCTCCCTGGTCCTGAGATCCACCTTCTGTGCAGTGGTGAGGGCTACGTTTTGTAAAGTGCCTCAGCCTCCCTCTTTGGGTAGCCTCGAGTGAAATAAGGCACATGGACATCTCCAACAGTCTACTTCCCCTGGCCCTGCAGGGGTGTCGAAGCAAGGCAGTCTTCATCCCAGGGTTTGTTTGGACCCTGGTTGGCAATGAGGAAAAGAGTGTCTTGCCTTCTTTCTATCTGAATTTCCAGATGCCTGGGGGGGGGCGGGGGGCGCCTCTGGGATATTTTAGTACACGTTTTTCTCTTTGCTGTCTCCGGTCCAGACACCTGGCTGATAATGCAAGAGGAGCTTGGATAGTAGCTCCAAGACTTGTATAACTACTTAGGAAAGAGCAGGTGCCTCAGTGGGATGGCTCATATCACGGTCCTAGTCAGCCAGGGACAGTGCTCAGGCTGGCAACAGCTGACTTGAGCCCTCTTCTGTCTGTCAGTTGGGGGCTGGTGACTGTCTTGCAGGCAGAATGCAGAGTTGGCCAAGCTCCGGCAGGAGCTCAGCAAGGTCAGCAAGGAGCTGGTGGAGAAGTCAGAGGCATCACGGCAGGAGGAACAGCAGCGGAAGGCTCTGGAGGCCAAAGCAGCCACCTTCGAGAAGCAGGTTCTACAGCTGCAGGTGAGTTGTAGTGGCATTCACCTCAGTGCCCTGTTCCTTCCACCCACCAAGCCTGCCTGTGTAGCAGGGAGGGGTCATTGCCCAGCCACATAGAGACATGCCTTCTTAGTCATGACTGACAACTGGAGACTCAGGCAGAGCTGGAACTGGGACCCCCAGCCTCGGCCTCCCGAATAATAGTTACAGCTTGCCAGCTTCAGATGGATGCTTTCTGTGTGATAAGCATTGTTGTAAGCACTTTACAAGCATTAGCTCAGTTAATTCTTATTGTAAGCTTATGAGGTAACTTCTATTACTATCTGGAATTTACCCATAAGGAAATTTGAGGCATAGAGAAATTAAGCAACTACCCCAAATTTACATAGAGGCAGGATTTCAAACCCAGGTCTAGCCCCAGTGCTGTTTGTTCTCCCATGCTCACTACCATCTCTGGTACCACAGTTCCAGCCATAGCTATCCCAACTAACATTAGCAGCTTCTGGCTTCAAGGCTAGGTGAGGGTTCTTCCTTTTTAGCACCTAGATGTGGCCAAGAAGCTCTTGTTTTCCCGGGAAGATGCTCTTTCTCCAGAGGAAGAAAGAGTGTCCTCCTGTCCCCAAAGTGCACTGGGCAGTATCTAGTGTGGCTGCACTGATTGCTTGTTGGCCTGATTGATTCTGGATCCCCTAGCTGGCCTGTTTTGGGGCAGGGTGGTGGGTTGTGGAGAGCCTTGATATCATGCCTGCTGTTCATTTAACTTTTCTGGATAATGAGGAAATCCTTCCATCCTGAAGGGCCTTGGGCTCTGTTTTCTGCTCAGTCATTGACACTAGGCTGTAGCACATAAGGCAATGGGCCTGTCTTGTGGAAGGGATGACAATGATAGACAAAATTGAAAGGCTGATGCTTATGTGTATATAAGAGACTAAAAAGGAATATGGACAAATAAACACAGTCTGATTGTTTAGGTGGAATTGAGGTGCATAATTTGGTGTTTACTGATTTTCATGTAAAGCAGGTCAATGAAACCAGACCAATGAAATCAGAGCTGCTGGGGTAGGCATGGCCATGATTTAAACGTTCCCAGGTGGTTTTGTTGCTTCTGGTGCCCAGGGTGTTGTCATCACCTGTGTCATTTCTAAAGACCTAGCGTGGGGCAAGGCCTGGGCCTAGCTCTTATCAGTAAGCCCCAGACTCTGAACATCTTCTGCCCTCTCAGCCCTCGGGTTATGTGTCCTCACCCTGGGGCCACACCAGGGAGTCCGTTCTGGGAGTGCTGGCCATGGGTGGTGAGGGAGACCAGAGCATCATATCGACAGTGAGGGCCCCTGGTATCTGCTGCAGAATTTCAGAGCCTCTGCTTTCCCATTTGTAACATAGGCATGACAGTAGTACCTGTCTCATGGGGTGGCTGGGGATTAACCAAGTGGCATATGCACAGGGCCTAGAATGGTACCTCACACAGAAAAAGAGCTCAATAAATGTGAACTGTACAAGGGCCCACTCCAGAAATCTCCAAGTTAGACTGGGGATTTAAGTTATAGGAAGCATCTCTGTGTGCCATGCTGGAATGAACTTTTCTTTTTTCCTTTTTGTGACTGTTCTTCATAACTCTGAGCCAGCTCTTCAGGGCTGGGATGGGCATGGTTTCCTGGCATTTTCCAGTGGATGTACTGACTTTAGAAATCCAGGCAGGTTTTATAAAAGTCATTGGAGTGGATGGCAGGGTGTCCTGCACATCCTCAGAGCCAGCAGAGGGCCTGGCCTCCCTTCTGTATCCTCATGGCCCTTTCCTTCTGCCTGCTCTCCAGATGTCTCACAAGGAGAGTGAAGAGGCCCTGCAGAAGCGCCTGGATGAGGTCAGCCGGGAGCTCTGTCGCTCGCAGACCAGCCATGCCAGCCTTCGAGCAGATGCCGAGAAGGCCCAGGAACAGCAGCAGCAGCTGGCCGGTGAGGGTGGAGGCTTGGCTTGGAGTCCGCAGGAAGGGCAGGAGGGTCTGTGCCAGGGCCAGAACCCATAAAGTGGGCCAGTCCTGTTAGTCTGTGAAGTAGGGATTGTACCCTGTTGGGGGACAGACTAGAGCTGCAGGGGTGAGGCTCACCTCCATGGGAAAGCTGAATCAGGGTAGAATGGGTGAGGGAGTAGAGCTTCAGAGGGCAGGATGTGGGGAGTATAGGGGGACATAGCCTGTGAGAGCTAGGTGGTAGCCGAAGGTGCTGCTCTTTCTGGCCTTGTTTGCTGTGGAACCCAGCTGGAGTCGTGGCTGTGGGTGAGCTGAAATAGGTCAGTGAGTGACTGAAGCAAGAAGGCAAATGGCCAGTGTGGGGCCAGATGGGTGACACTCCCTGTTAAGAGTTTGGATGCTATGTTCAGTGATGGGAGGGCTCACAGCATTTGGGCAGGGGGTGGCATGATCCCCTTTGTACTTCTGGATGCTCTGATGCTGGGTGGAGAGTGGACTGGAGGGACAGCAGGGGACCAGGGGTAAGGTTCTCACGGTAATTCAGGCCAAAAGGGAATAGAGCTGGACTCAGACTGTTGTCTGAGGTGCTGGTGAGGAAGGGATGGACTCAACAGACAGTGGATATAGAATCGATAGGCCTCGAAGGTGGGTGAGAGGTGGGGCACAGGAATGCAGGGCAGTCATGATGGGGAGGTTGGAGGACTGGGTTCAAGTTGCCTAAGCAGAGCTTCATTGGGAAGTGTCAAGCAGCTGAGCCTGGGTTTGGGGATGAGACCAGAGCTTTGGGACTTTGCAGAGTCATACATACATGAATGACATATAGAGCCATGGGACTTGAGGTCATTGAGGGAGGACATACCCAGAAGACCCTTGCCCTTGGTCTCAGCTAATAGGAGCCAGTTTCTTAGAGAACAGATTTTTAGGAATTGCAATTGAAATCCATTCTAGATTTTTATCATTTTTCCCATGAGTAATCTGAAGGCATTTGATTTTACCCTAATGAATCCTCAAGAACAAAGCTAATAAGATGCACCAGTGGTCAGAGGTAGGTCTTAAACCCTCAGGCACATAGAGAAGACAGGGGAGGGAGTCATTGGTGCCCATGTGCTAAGCAGCAGGTGTGGTATCCATCCCAGTTGTTTGCTGCTCCTGACCTACTCTTGCTCCCCTTCGAGCACAGAGCTGCACAGCAAGTTACAGTCCTCTGAGGCGGAGGTAAAGAGCAAGTGCGAGGAGCTGATTGGTCTACACGGACAGCTCAAGGAGTCCAGAGCGGAGAACTCACAGCTCACAGAGCGGATCCAGTCCATTGAGGCCCTGCTGGAGGCAGGCCAGGCCCGGGAAGTCCAGGGTTCCCAGGTCAGCTGGCACCTCCTCCCAGGGGTTAATGAGAGGGGAGGGAGAACACCATCGAGTCTTGACCCCTTGTGTAGGGGGATGACAGCAAATTCCCCCTCCCCCAACTAGTTGCTAAATGAGTTGTCTTATGTTAACTAAGGAGCTTTCTGTCTCTTGTTTCAGGCCAGCCAAGGGGAGGCTGACCAGCAGCAGGCACGGTATGTGGAGGTCCGGGGGCTGTAGCCTTAGCACCGGGTGGCAAGATCCTGGGAGCCAGGGATTTTAGCAGGGCACATGACGTCCCTGGCAAGAGCCATTTTCAGAGGCCTCTGCCTTTTCTTCATTCCTGCAGTGACTTTGAGGACAGGGGATAGGCCTGGTCGGCAAAGAAGACAGCCTTGCAAATAGCTCCTCACCTTCTCTCAAGGAGCAAGACTAATCTGTGTGGAGAGTGGCCAGTGCCTCAGCAGGGGCACCTCCTGCCATCTATCCATCTCTCAGTAGGGAGGGACTAGCTGGTCAGGAGTTCTCCCTGTGTCTACAGGTGAGGGACTTTAGAGACTGAAGTCATAAATCAAATAGGAAAAATGGTTTCACACCCTGAATGGAGAACCTGGGAGGTGGTCCAGGCTTTTTGCACAGATTTGGGACATAGGTACAGTTCAGAGCTGACCAGGTGAAGAGTTATCTGCAAGGTAAAGTCACTGCTGACAGACCCTGTTTTCCTTCCGTATTGGGAGCCCAGCACTAGGCATTGCTCAGGGACTGTTTGCAGTTGTTCAGGCCAGAGCCGACATCTGGGTGGGATGGCTTAAGTCTGGGCCAGTCTTTGGAACTGTCATATCTCGGGTATGAGTCCCTTAGTAGATGCCCATGGGCTCAGGGGGTGGGTCCTGGCTGCTTTGGTCAGGGGTCCACACAGACTAGCCATGTGGGGGTGAATCATGGAGGGTGGCCCTTGTTCTGGCTGTTGCTGTCAGTAAGTCATCTTCCATGTGTCTCCACAGTCCATGACCCATGTTCCCTGGCTATAGGCTCCAGGGTATGGGGACTGAGGACAGAAGCCAGCTGCCTAGAGAGCCCAAAATGCCTTGCAGAATCCTCCCCATCTTTTTTTCCCAGTATATTTTTTTTCCAGAAAGGTTGGGGGAGTTTTGTTTCTTATGGTATATGTTGGGGTAGAGAGGTTTATTTGTTTAGGTTTTTGCTCTCTTGTATTTTGAAGTCAGATTCCAGCCACACAGCGAATTCCTAGGGCACTTAGTCATGGTACAAATAGGGTTCATTCCAATTTTTTACATCATGCAGATGTGTTTGGTAGAAATTGGGTTTTTTTTATTTCCTTCTCAGACATTTTTTCTGAAAGCTATGTCTAGGCCCGGCCATTCTGTTCAGTGGAAATGAGTTATCTTTCCCTAGACGTTCTAGAACTCAGAGGTCACCAAGGGGTGGTTGTCAATGTGTCCTCGCCACTGGCCTGCTGAGTCTTCTTCCTCAGGGCTTTTGTTCTTTTGGGGACCCTCCTGGAGTATGCTGGAGACGAGCTGTTGTGTAATGCAGGGACTGGAGGGAAGATCTGTGAAGGGTCCCATAGGAATTTTGAGGGTGGGGTCAGGGTTTTGTGGGCTTGAAACCAACATCTAAGAAGTCAACAGCTGTCTTCAAGGCCAGATGCAAACTGTATTTAGAATAAAGATGTGAGTTGGTGTATAGTGGGTATCCATTCCCAGGTAGGATGGTTGGGATAACCAGCGTGCTCAGCCCGCGCTGAAATTATGTTTACTCCTAACATGCATTAGAATGGTGGTTATCAACAAGTTTTCAATCATGGCCCATAATAAGTAATACAAATATATTTGTCCCCATCTGTTGGCAGTGGCAGCCTTCCTCTGGCAGGAGTGTCCTTGGTGGGGCTTCCTTCCCACTTTCCCAGTGGCTCTGGTTGTGCTGATTCAGGTCAGCATGATCACTCTGGACTTTAGATTTCATATATCCGTAGGGCCTTCCTGGTCCCAAACCTTAATGCAGAAGATAACATATCCAAGTGTCCATCTGAAGCCTGTTCCTCAGAACAGCTAGTATGGTTGTAGTGTCAGCCTTTTGCTTTCCATGATGAGATTGAACGAAACCCATTGGGCCACTGTATCTGGAGAAAAGCGTGAAAAGATGGGACAGACATCTTGGGAGGTCATCTTGGGGCTGCTTTCTTGGAGCCAGGCACAGACTGAGGGAGCAGCTTTTAAGTCTCAGCAGAGTTAGGATTTGGATAAGGGATGGTCCTGCTGTATCCAGTGAGCTGCCGAGAATAGCAGTGCTCAGAGTCTGTGGGTGTGCAGGTGACAATGCCACATGAGTCTGTAGCTCAAGTGTCCTCTGAGAAGGGCCAGCTGGCAAGTTTCGTGGGGACAGAGTGGAACCAGGTTGGCCAAGAGCTGTGTAACCAGGAGTGGACTTGATTCACTAGAGGAAAAAGCTTCCCCAAAACTCAACTGTCTGGTTCCATCCCTACCCTGGCCTCTGGCCTCTGACCTCTCTAGTCTCAGTGGCCATTGTCACCAAGTGGGATTCTGGTGGCCTCTGGGATCTGTACCCTGGTCCCAGGGCATTCAGAATGAGTTAAGGGAGTAGGTAGCTGCTTGTTCTTCCCAAAAGCTTGTGCCCCAAGAGGCAGTCAGGAGAGTGGGAGGTGCTTCTGGCTAGTCCTGAGACAAGACTGGGGGCTGTGTGCCTTCAGAGCCCAGCAGTGACCCGACCATCTCTCTCCAGCTTCAAGGAGCTGGAGTCCCAGCTGTGGTGTCTGGAAAAGGAGGCCACTGAGCTCAGGGAGGCAGTTGAGCAGCAGAAAGTGAAGAACAACGTGAGTATTGGGGACATATGTACACAGAGGTGATGGGGCTGAGAATGGCATGCATGTCAAAGGGCATGTGTGTGCACAGGGGGCAGTGGTGGGGGTGAGGCTGGCCTAAGACTAGTATGGAAGGGGCCCAGCTGCCTCTTCACATCCTATTCTGCTACTCACTGCTGAAAGCCTGTCTTTGAGGGTTTGGGGAGCCTCTTTGCCCCTGAGGTCCATCCAGAGACCCAGGGCAGACTTCCCATTAAATCATCTTGGGTCATGTGTCCTGACATGGAGCCCCCATTATGGAGAAAATGCTTCTGTTAGCCTTACCAGGGTCATGTGGTCAGTCACCTTGTAGTAGGGAGGCTGCATCAGGAAAAGGGGATGTGGAAGTCTCTTTCCTCTGTGTGGGGGGTCGGGGGGGGGATGCACAGGAGCCTTGGCTGTATCTTCCCCACCAGGCTGCCTACCTACTGCCCCTCAGAGAGCCTGAGCTTTCAGGTAGCCCTGTCTGCTCTCCCCAGAAGAGTGTCTACCTATTCCTATCTGTGCCTGGCTTGGCCAGAGCCAGCCACGGAGTCAGTGTTTACTGTTTGGTAACAGGAGCCTCTTCTTTCTTAGGAGTCACGCTGACCATCCCTCCTCTGTGGTAGTCTCCCTGAAAAGATGCTCAGACTACACCCACCCTGATGACACAGCCTCCCCACCATAGTGGGCTGCAGCACCTTGGCCTTGTGTTAGTGCTGCCTGAGAGAGGCCCAGTGGGTGCAGCCCAAGAGAAAGGTCACTTTGTCCCTTTGCAGGCCCCCTGTGGGATCCAGAGTGGGGTCAGGGAGACCCTGCCCTGCTGAGACCCACTGAGGCAGCTCATGGGGGATACATCAGCCGTTGCCCGTCTAGCTACTGACTTTTTCCATGTCCTCCCCTCAGGACCTCCGAGAGAAGAACTGGAAGGCGATGGAGGCACTGGCCTCAGCTGAGAGAGCCTTCGAGGAAAAGCTTCGTTCCCTTACCCAGGCCAAGGTCAGAGTCTCATCCTTGTCTTTCCTGCTAGTGAAGACTTGATCAGCGGCACTTTGTGTAGTTTAGCAAAACACAAAACTCACACACTGTGTGCAGTGCAGCCTTGGCCCTGGAGTGTCTCAGAAATCCATACCAGGGTCCCTCCAAGGGGCCAGTACATGGAGTGCCCCAGCTCTTCCATCTTCCTTGTTCCCCACTCCCCTGATCTCTCCGTAAGATGGCAGGGGGAAATGTACCCTTGATTGCTATTTCTTACCTGGGCCCTTTGCCATCAGGGGGCAGAGACAGAGGCCATTGGGGCTGTGAGCCCACCTGCCTACACTTCCTGTGAGTAAGCTCAACATTGAGCCGTCTTCAAAACTCTGGTACTTTGTCTGATCCTGCTGTTTTCTCAGGCCCTTTGAAATCATGGTCCAGTAGGTTCTGTGATTGCTCTTTATAGTAAGTCACAGAGGGGAAGGACATCTTTAGCAGCACTCAAGCCCTGACGTCCACATTGGTCCTATGCTCCAGGTTAGAGAGAGTACAGGCATCTCAGTATCTGGGGTCCTCACATTACTTCTGGAGCCCTGGGGCGGGAGCCAGTGCCACGGCTCTGGTTGGGGACATGGCCTGCAGCTGCAGCAAGTGGAGGCCTTGCCCACCACCACACATTTCTATCCCCAATGTAGCACCCCAGGTGGCTAGCTCTCCCCTCCCATCCTTGCTGATGCAGAACAAATGTCTTTCCTGTTATCAGGAGCTTTGCATTGACTTCATGAGCCTCCCAGGAAGTCCAAAGGTTGTATAAAATGGGACTCTGGGATGAGGTGGGAGCTGGAGGGCTGGCCTTGGGTCCCATTGTGGCAGAGACTCTCCAGAGGTGACCTGGGAGCCTGTCTGGCTTTTCTGTGGTAAATGCAGAATCTGTGACCAGAGATATCACCTGACTTGCTCAGGCTCCACTGGCTGTGGCCTCAGACTCCATAACTGGGGACCTGAGCAGTGGTCAGAGGTCTATGGCAGGCCATGGGCATTGTCTATGGATCAATAGGTGAGTCAAGAAGAGTCTGCTTCTAAGACTTGAGTCCTGACCTTGTGGTGCTGTGGTCAGGCTGGGTGTCCATTTGTCAGACGTCCTCCCTACACATAGTCCAGAGCACCAATTGACAGCTCTAAACCAGTTGGAGGTCCTAATGTTGCCCTTGGGGCTCAAGCTGGGTCTCAGGCCATGCTGAGATTATCGAACAGCTAGCAGTAGGTTCAACTTGCTGGGGACAGGTTATTAGAGGAGACTTTCTGTTTGTCAGAAATCTCCTGTGGTCACTCCCCAGCCCTGCAGGGTGTGGAGAGAGGGGGTGTTACTTGTCTTCAGGGGATGCTGCTGTCTTAGGCTTTGCTTTGTAGCTCCTTTGGTCTTTAGGCTGTGAGTGGGAACTTCAAGGAGGACCAATGTGGGCACTGACCCAGTATGGCATGACCACAGCATGAGTCAGGCTTTGGGAGAGACGTGACCTGACCAAGGTCGTATCCTCACCGAGTTAATTCCTTCTCTGCAAAGTAGGAGTACTGATTCTTCCTTCCTCCAGGGTTACTAGGGGGTCCTACCACCCCTGGCCAGCAGTAGTTCATAACTCTAGTGGCTAGTGGGAGATACACATCTTCTTCACCTTGTGCTTGGCTTCCACAGTAGCTTCGACCCCCTCCCCCATCCCCATAGTGTATGCACACATACATGCATGTGTATACACAGACACACACGGGTGACTTGGAAATTGAGAACTGATTTAGCCTGAGGATCTGCTGGGAGGTGTTGGATTAACCCATACCTGCCACAAGGGCCAGCCTGCTATCCCCCTTTGTTAGAACTGAGTCTGTTTAAAACTGACCTGGCACAGGCTGTGGGATGGTCATGAAGCTATCCACCTTCTCCTTTGGCCCTTGTTCCTTCCTGGGGTGGAGACCCCAGCATCTCTAAAACACTCCCCAGAGGTTGCTCTAAAGCTCCGCATCTGAACAGTGCCCTCCCTTCCCACCCCCCCCACCCCCCCCACCCCCCCCTTACAGGAGGTATCGGAAAAGCAGCTCAGCCTGATGGAGGCACAGACCAAGGAGGCCCTGCTGGCCATGTTCCCAGCCCTCTCTGATTCAACCCACCAGGTAGTGGAGGGGCACTCCTTGGGACCCCACTGCTTGTCAAGAATGCCACTCAGCTCCCCTTCACACATTTTTGTTGCAGAATTATACCGAGTGGCTCCGGGAACTCAGAGAGAAAGGCCCAGAACTGCTCAAGCAACCGGCAGTGAACACAGAGCCCCTCTTGGTAAGCAGGTCATAAACATACCCTTGAGGGGCTGCCACTTGCTCTCCCCTCCCTGGGAAGGGATGTGTTTCGGTTTCATCAGGCCACCAGAGAAGCCTTTGTGCTTGGCTAAGTGAGCTCTGTTCTGCCATCTGCCCTTAGGATCTGGCCTCCAAGCTGAGGGAGTCTGAGGAGATCCAGAGTACCCTGCAGTCTGAGTGTGACCAATACCGCACCATTCTGGCTGAGACAGTAAGGCAGGAGGGCTGGGGCCTCTATCCTGTGAGGGGGCTTCCAGGCCTGGAGGGCAGGAAGCAGGTGGTGGTTTGGGAAAGCCCACTGGCCCTTTGAAAACCCCTGGCTTCAGAGGCTCTGTAGGACTTTGGGCAAGTCGCTGACCCAGTCCGGGCCCCATATTATTGACTGAATAGTAAAAGGGATAAGGAAGGTGCTCAGTTGCTCTTCATTGCTTCTAAGCTATGGAGAGGGCTGAGATGAAAGTGTGAGTCTGCTCTCAGGGAATTGGAAAGACTTTTTTTCAAGTATATTTTATTGATTATACTATTATAGTTTTCCCAATTTTTACCCCTTTATTTCTCCTCTGCCCTGCACCCCCCAGCCCTCCAGCATTCCCCCACCCTTGGTTCATGCCCATGGGTTGTACATAGAAGTTCTTTGAGTCCTCTGTTTCCTATATCATTTTTACCTCTCCTTGTCTATTTAATGCCTACCAATTATGCTGCTGCTTCCCTGTACCTTTTCCCCTTATTCCTCCCTTCTCCCTCCCCACTGAAAACCCTCCATGTGATCTCCATTTCTCTGATTCTGTTCCTATTCTAGTTTGCTTAGTTTTTGTTTTCGTTGTTTTTTCTTTCTTTTATTTTTTTAGGTTTATTAGTTGATAGTTGTGAGTTTGTTGTCATTTTACTGTTCATATTTTTTATCTTCCTTTTCTTAGATTAAGTCCCTTTAACATTTCATATAATAATGGCTTGGTGATGGTGAACTCCTTTAACTTGACCTTATCTGGAAAGCACTTTATCTGCCCTTCCATTCTGAATGATAGCTTTGCTGGATAGAGTAATCTTGGATGTAGGTCCTTGCCTTTCATGATTTGGAATACTTCTTTCCAGCCCCTTCTTGCCTGCAAGGTTTCTTTTGAGAAATCAGCTGATAGTCTTATGGGAACTCCTTTGTAGGTAACTGTCTCCTTTTCTCTTGCTGCTTTTAAGATTCTTTATCTTAATCTTGGGTAACTTGATGATGATGTGCCTTGGTGTGTTCCTGTTTGAATCCAACTTCTTTGGAACTCTCTGAGTTTCCTGGACTTCCTGGAAGTCTATTTTCTTCACAAGACTCAGGACGTTTTCCTTCATTATTTGTTCAAATAAGTTTTCAATATCTTGCTGCTGTTGTTCTCCTTCTGGCACCCCTATAATTTGGATATTAGAACGTTTCAAGTTGTCCCAGAGGTTCCTCAGCCTCTCTTCATTTTTTTCATTCTTATTTCTTCTTTCTGTTCTGCTTGGATGTTTATTTCTTCCTTTTGTTCCACATTGTTGATTTGAGTAGTCCTGGTTTCCTTCCTGTTGCTGTTAGTTCCCTGAATATTTTGCTTTATTTCATTTTGTGTATCTTTCATTTGTTCTTTCATTTTTCAACCAGGGTCATTCAGTTCTGTGAGCATTTTGACAGCCCTGGTAAGGGCTTTGAACTCTCCATCAGATAGGTTGGTTATCTCCTCATCACTTAGCTCTCTTTCTAGAATTTTTCCCTATTCTTTCATTTGGGCCCTATTTCTTTGCCTCAGGGCACCTGGTAAGTCGTAAGGGGGCAGGGCCTTAGGTATTCCCCAGGGCAGGGCAACCCTCCTTGCTGTACTGCAGCAGTCTGTGGGGGAGGGGCCAGGGAGGAAACAGTGCAGGCCCCCCCCGCCTGTCTCTATCACACTTTCCTAGGAACCCTCATGCGAGACTGAGAGTTTCTCCTACCGGGGCAACTCTCACCATATTCCATAGTCAGCTCTGAGTCTCAATTTCCTGTTCAGCCAGCCTCACCCAGGCAGCCTGCTGCCTCGCTGTAGCCAGCCCCTGCCCCCATGGTCTGCTGCTTTGCCCAGGGTTCTCTCAGCCAGCCCTGCTGTCATGGTCCACTGGCATCTTAGTCTGGTTGTTCTGGTTGACTGTTTCTTTAATTCCTTGGTTGTTGGAGTTCCATGCAGTTTGATTTTCTGGCATTTCTGATTGTTTATTGATTTTTAGATTGGTCATTATCCATCCTCCTTTTGGTTGTGTGAGGAAGGATTTCTACCTACATCTCCATCTTGGCCAGAACTCTATCTCAATCAAATTGGAGAGACTTGGTCATATGATACAGCAGTATGGGAAGGGAAGGGAAGATATGAGCATTTGGCTGACAGCTGGCTTGAAGTCGTGGTCTCTGTGACTCCAGGAGCAACGCTAGATCTAGTTCTCTCACCCTGACTGGCCCCATCCTGTGTTCCTTGTTCTGCATTTGGCACTGGGGGAAAACTTGACAGAGATGAGAATCCTGTGGCCTCATTTGGTCACAGGTGTCATTCCCATGTGTGGTCCGCAGCCTTCCTTCACATATTGGCCAGAGGGCCCCACTCCAGGACTATGGCCCACTTTGCTCCCCATGTGATACTGACTGACAAAAATCAGAGCATGGTCACACTGGCAGTCAGGTGGCCATCACAGAGAGACTAAAGGGACAGGACAACTCAGTTGTATGTTTATGTGGGGCGGGGCCTCCACAGAGAGGGCCCTGCCTCAGTGCCTGCCTCCCCAGGAGGGCATGCTCAGAAACCTTCAGAAGAGTGTGGAGCAGGAGGAGCAGGTATGGAAGGCCAAAGTCAGCACCACGGAGGAGGAGCTTCAGAAGGTACAGCACAGGCCCTCTGACCCTCGGCAGGGTCCAGCAACAGGAATATCGCCCCAGGAGGTCCACCTTCCCTAGGTCCACCTTCCCTAGGAATTCAAACATAACTTACTCAAGAAAAACAGCTGGGTTAGAATCCTATAAAAATCCCAGGGGAAAGCCACTGGGGTCATTTGGGAGACAAGAGTCACATTTGCTGGTTTTTGGTGATGCCATATTTGTATGGTGATTGCAGAATGACAGCTAAGTCCTCAATCTCAAGGAGACCCCACCCACTCCCCACACTCACCTCTAGGAAGAGGCTGCTGGGTCACATTCAGAGTGGGTGGGCACCACTGGGCTTCCTGAGAGATGGGGCTTGCATTTGACACAGAGCCTTCCCCTTGCTTTGTAGTCACGGGCCATGGTGAAACATCTTGAAGAGATTGTAGAGAAACTAAAAGGAGAACTTGAAAGTTCAGATCAGGTACGTATGGGGGATCTGCTCAGAGGGTTGCTTTCCATATTGCAGAGCAGTGTTGTTCCTGAGGCCATGTCAGTTGTTCTCCCTTGTGGACTCCCAAGTCTTAAGAGTGGCTGGGGATCTTGTCAGTCCTGCTTTTCCTAAATGAGAGCCATTCACAACCTGAGTGGCCAGAGAGAGTGTAGACCATGTGCAGAATGCCCAGCCATGGTAAATATTGGGTTCTACAGTGGCCTTCTGAGTTGGAGGTGTACGAGGTGGCCCCACTGCCCTCTGCAGACACATTGTCAGCCCTGGCTTTGAAGAAGGTGCCCCTGGTATCCACCTAGCAAATAAATCTGAAAGCTGTCCTTTCCTTGACTGCTGAGGTCTGAGAACATGGACCCAGGAGTGCTGGAGTTTGGGTACCATTTTCAGAAAGGAAAGTTCTTTCAGAACAGAAAGTTCTGTTGCCATGGACTTGTTTCTTCCTGGCCTTGGTTTGCTCCATAGCCAGTGGGCCATGAAGGACTCTTAGCTCTTATCAGCGGGCCAGCTACACTTGTCACCCCATCACCCTGTTTTCTGCTAGCCAGCTTGAGGCCTCTGATGTGTGATGTGGGTGTGTGTTTCCAGGTGAAGGAGCATACCTCACATCTGGAGGCAGAGCTGGAGAAGCACATGGCAGCCGCTAGTGCTGAGTGCCAGAGCTATGCCAAAGAGGTGGCAGGGGTGAGTCTCCCATGGGGTCTCAGCCTGTCCAGAGTTGCCCCTCCTCAGCAGCTCTCATTAAGATGAGCCTGAAGTTCCGGTTCTCAGGCTTTGCTCTAGGGCTTGCGTCAGCCAACAGGGCAGGGGTGAAGCCAGGTCAGCTGTGCAGCAAGAGAATTCTCCACGTGGTTTGGTGACACCATTTCTGGGGAAAGTAGACTTATCTCTGATACTGTTTTCTGACTTGAGAAACAGAAAGCACCTCCATTCTGGTTTGATCTGAAACTGTTGACCTTATTTTGTGGGATAATCCATAAACATTTGCAAAGACCCCAGACAAGGCATACAGTGAATGCCAGCCTTCCTGAGTCTTCAAAGAAGAAATGGGAGCTGCCAGAGGCCTGGGGGCCAGCTGCTCTCACTCTGCTCTGCAGTGTACTTCAGGGTTTGGATTACAGGGATGTAGTATTAGATTGTGTGTTTAGGTGCTAACTCACAGGAGCTGGTTTTCTCTTCTTTATCCTTTACCCCTGCATCGCCTGGGTCTGTTTTCTCCTCAAGTTGAGGCAGCTTTTATTAGAATCTCAATCTCAACTGGATGCAGCCAAAAGTGAAGCCCAGAAGCAGAGTAATGAGCTCGCCCTGGTGAGTGAACGTGGAGTGGGACAGTGTGTGACACGGAGGGGCGTGTGTGTGAGATTCATTCCAGGTGTGCCTTTATGTCCTGTCAGAGGGAATGCAGTGTGGTGGTGCCACGTGCACCAGTTTGGTGTTTGGGTCAGGCTTTGATTGGGCTGTGCTGAAGGGGCTCCTTGCACATTTGCTCAAAAGTCTAAGCTGGGCCTGTAGCTGTTGAGACCAATGTACTCAGGTCCCACCTCCCATCTTTCTTGGTACATACTCGTCCCAGGCCACAGTGCAGGAATCTTGGTGTAGTCTGATTCCTGTGAGCCCAGTGTCATGTGGTGTTTGGGCTAGGCTGCTCTCTGCTCCCTGGCTGTTAGCACAGGCCTTGTCCTCTATGGGGCTTGGGCCTCTTCTCACCATAGCAGTGGCTGAGCCTGGTTCTGTCCAACTCGGGCTGGGATGGAGGCCTCCCTCATGGCTGGCAGTAGAAGCAGACTTGCAGAACTCCCTGCTGTGAGGTCAGCCTCTGGGTCCCCCCAGTTTTCAGTGTTGGTGTCTAGTCGCAGTCCTTGCTCCTTGGTAGGGTTAGCCCAGCCTTACAGAGGTAGAGCCCCACTGTCCCAATACCAGCTCCTGGGATGGGGGCTGCAAGCAGCAGTCTGTAAGGCCACAAATGTGTTCTGTTTAATCTGTATGGTCTTTTTAAAATTTTTGAACTAGTTAACACTTAGAAATTGGGAGATTTTCAATACAAATGGATATGTCTGGTTTTCTGTGAGGGGACCAAAGGTCTCATGCGTGGGCTGACGTTACCACAGCAGCATCCACTCAGCTTTGAGCAGCCCCTGTGTGGTGCATTCACTCTTGTCTCCCCTGGGGCCTTACTTGGGACTGTCACACCGGAGAGTGGGTGCCATACATCCTGAGTCACTGCCTGAGCATAAGGGCTGCTCCCTAAAGCAAAGTCTGGGTGACAGGCTCCTGCCCAGGCTGGGGGCACCTGTGGAGAAGACTCCCCTGAGTCCTCATCATTGGCCCGGGCAGTTCGGTTTTCACCTTTAGGGATTGTTGAGAGGGAGGGAAGAAAAGGAGCAGGCCCCACACACTTGGGGTGCCTTAGATCACCTCTGTCCCCTGGGAAGTTCATGCCAAGGGCTACCCAGTTCCCCAGACTGGAACCTTTAGCTGAGCTTCATGGGTGATGCTGCTGCCTCTTCAGATCTGAGGCTTAATGGTCTGGGGTCTTGGGGACCACCAGATGTGTCACCTGCCCCCAGCAGTGGAGCTGAGGGGTGAGGGAACCTTATTAGGCACGAGTGTCATCTCATAATCTTTTCTAGACCCCAAAAAGCACTCTGAACAGCGGACAACATCTGACAGGAATCCAGGACCTAGGCAGTGCTTATCCATGCTGAGCCAGGTGGCTGCCTCTTACTCCATTTTGGGTTTCTTAGCTCTGTGTACATTGTGTCCATCAGGGGTCACCTTACTCCTAGGGAGAGTTCTTTGCTGGCTGGTCTTGGGGCAGAACACATGGGTCAGGCCAGCCCAGCCCAGGGCCCTAGTGGACCCTGGGCCTAGTTTTGGCACAGCTGAGGGGTCAAGGCGTTCGTTCCCTACCCCAGTGAACCTGCCTGAGGACTCCGACATAGGTCACAGTTACCAAACCAGGTCTGCTGCAGGGGCTTTGGCTGTTGAGAGCATCTGCAGTGCTCTTGAAGGGGGGGTGGGGAAAGGGGGCATCTGTGTGTGTGTGCAGGGTGGGCGTGCATCTGGCTGAGCACAAACCCACCCCTCCCTGTTTCAGGTCAGGCAGCAGTTGAGTGAGATGAAGAGCCACGTAGAGGATGGTGACGTAGCTGGGTCTCCGGCTTCCCCCCCAGATCCCCCCCAAGCAGAGCAGGACCCTGTCGAGGTTAGGGCGGTGAGCTTGTCCTCAGATGTGTGTCACTAACTGTCCCTGGGCCCCTTCTACACAGGGATGGTGGGCCTCTGTTCTGGCTAAACATTTGCTACTTGCAGTCTCCACTGCCTGCCCTCCCCACCTCACTCTGCCCAGATACCTAGGTTGGGTCACCTAGGCTCTGAGGAAGCCACAGAGCAGATGAAAGGGCAGGGAAGGTGTCTAGGTAGGGAGGTGTTGGAATCTTGAGCCTAACAAGGTATGTGGGACAGACTGGGAGAGGGAGGTGGGGCAGCCAGGCCTGCCATTGGGGTCTGATCTCCCACTGTGGCCCTTGCTAGGGTATCACTAGCAGGGTGTTTGCTTTCCAGACTTTTGGCCCAAGTAATTGCAGGTAGAAGCCCTCACCAGGAGGCAGAGGCCTGTCACCAGAATAATAGTGGGATGGTTGCTGGGTGGGGATACTGCTGTGGGGTGGGGCTTGCCCTAGTGACTCTGAGGCTTCCTTGTCCTGTGGGCCTCATTAAAGGTGCCGGAGGTCAGCAGAGGTCCCATCAGCATCTCCCTGCAGCCACATCAGCTTTTGTACTCAGGGACTGAGGCACCATCTCCTGAAAAGGGGGAGCTTTGGAAGCGACTTGGTTGGCTGGCTGGTGGGTAGAGGCCACTCCAACTGGCCAGAGGCAAGGAAAAGCAGTCACGCTTCAGACAGCTAGAAGGTGGAGTCCCCAGATTTCAGCCTGTCCAGGAGCCCTGAGCCCCTAAGAGGGTCCTTTACCAGGTTCCCAAAGTATGTTTGTGGTGTTTCCATACAGCTGAAAATACAGTTGGAGCATACAGAAGCCATCCTGGAGGACGAGCAGATGCAGCGGCAGAAGCTCATGACTGAGTTTGAGGAGGTCAGGCCCTACCTGGGGGACCCTGAGTGGGTTGTGGAGGGGATGGTGGAGGTGTGGCCCAGGCAGGTGGTTGTGGGTCTGGAGGGTCCCTCCCTTGGGGATGTTGCTATGCATTCGGTCACCTGCATCCTGTCCACAAACTGAAACTGTTATCTCATTGTGCTGAGTGCCCTTCTGTCCCCAAGTGGTCTAGTTGGGTTTGTGAGTTGTTTCACCCATACCCCATGCCCTAACTGCACTGCACCTTTTCTGCCAAGGCTCAGAACGCGGCGTGTCAGCTACAGGAGGAGCTGGAGAAACTCCGCACCAGCCCCCTTGAGTCTGCAGAAGCAAACATGGTCACACAGCTAAAGGTAGAAGGGTGGGCTCTGCTCCAAGACTCTAGTAGGTTCAGCTCTGGGTGCCGGCTTTCCATTGCCACCACCTGGAATGGGAGAGGAGCCATCTTGCAGCCCCTTAGGCAGGGTGCAGCCTAATTTGATGGTGGGCGGGGGGGTGCAGTTCCTAAACCTCCAGGGTCACATGGCAGCCACTAGTCAATGTGGCTATTTAAATTTAAATTAAATAAAACATGAAGGTCAGTTCCTCAGTTGTAGTGGCCATATTGCAAGTGTTTAGCAGCCACCATGTCTGTTCAGTGGATGCTGTGTTGCACAGTGCACATCAGAGCATCCCTAGTATCACAGGAAGCTCTTTTGGTGTTGATGATAGGGCACTAACCCAACTGTAGCCTGGGCTGTTTGCTCCCAGTCATCGCTGCATGTCTCTGGGTAACAAGGAGGGAGGCAGCCTCCTCCTACCTTCATGGGGCTCCCAGTTCCCAGGGCATTGGGCCTGACAGGCATAACCAGGCAGCCTTCCTGATATGTGGCACATGAAGGCTGACCTCCTTCTACCCTCTGATCCACAGGAGAGACTAGAAAAAGAGAAGAAGTTAACGAGTGACCTGGGACGTGCTGCCACCAAATTACAGGAGCTTTTGAAGATGACCCAGGAACAGCTGGCAAAGGAGAAAGATACAGTGAAGTTGTTGCAGGAGCAGCTGGACAAAATAGTGAGTACTCTGGCCATGCAGGGCCACTGACTCTCTCCAGGGCTGCATGGAAGGGGTGGGCGTGGTACTGGGAGCCCTAGGACTCCTGGGAAGCAGAATAGATACAGACCTGGGGCAGAAGGTGGTGGGGACAGACTTCTGAAGGCAGCATCAGGATGTGCAGTACCTACCCTTTCGTGACTCTCTTTGGTGAGAAGCATGTCTACCAGCCCAAAGCTTGTGGGACCAAGGTCCTCACCTAGACTTGGGGCCCTCAGCTCCTGCCCATCCTCAGGCGTCCCCTCCAGCCCCAGGAGTCAGCTCTGGTTCTCCAGATGTCCTGTGTATTCTCTGAAGGGCTTGCAGTAGTATGGGATGTAAATCCAGGGGGACCTAGAGGTCCCTGGGAGTTGGGGTAAGTGCCCTTGGCTCCTTGGCCCACACTCACTCTCCCTCTGCCCTGTTTGCAGGAGGATGGTAGCAGCTCAAAGGAGGGCACCTCTGTCTGAGTCTCCTCTGCAGAAAAAGAAGTTACTGTTCAACTTACCAAAATGCCTTATACATTCCTTACAAATAAACCGACACAGCGTTGTCCAGGCCCAACTCTGGTGGCTCTGAGAGAAGACATGAGAGACTTGAGTCTCTTAGAACCACAGAAGTAGATCTTCCAGACAGACCCCCAGTTTGTAAAAGAACCTTTGTCACATTCAATAAACACTATTCCCCATGACCAGCCCTGGACCACCACAGAGCAGACGCCAAAGCCCTTACCAGCTGTGACAGACCCCAGGCTGTGTGCTGGGGAGGCCGGGACCTCTAGCTATCTGTATGTCGATCAGTGCAATTGTTTTGTCTTTCAGTGGGTCGGGAGGCGGGCGGACCAGGTGGTGAGTCTCAAAGGCTGTGGCACAGACTGGAGGGGCCCAGCCCAGCCCAGCAAAGCCACAGCCCCTCACCCCTCCCAACCAGAACTGGTGTGTGACCTCCTGGATGTTAATGCCATTAAAACCAACATTGTCGCCCGGCACTGCCATCTTGTCTGCTTTTCTGCTGGGGCTTCCCCACTGGCTGCTGAGCCTAGGATGAGGAATGAGGAGTGGCTGGATCCCTCAGGAGACAGCAAGTGTGGCTCTGGTTTCTCTGAAGTCAGGATCAGCAGCTCTGCCTGAGTGGGAGGTGAAATGTGTTGCTTCCTGGCCCCCAGCACTTTTCCCCATTGTGCCACTCAGGCCCCACTGCCTGCCAGGTGGGGTGAACATAGCCTTGGGATGTGTGGTGGCCAGATGCACTGACTATGGTCCCCACCCTTGAGGATCTGAGGTTACTTGAGCAGAGCTGTGAGTGGCCTAGACTGCTGTGTGAAATGAGCTCCATGAGTGAATAAGGGGGTCTTTGCCCTTCTGGTTGGGGTTTGGACAGATATCTTCACTTCAGGAGGGGCAGAGCAAGGGCTGGAACAGCCAGCTGAGACTTCCTGTGGTCCTCAAGACCCACTTTGTCCTTGGTGGCCCAAAACAGTGTGATCCAGAAGAATCTTGGGCCAAAAAGTGTTTGGGGATTTTGTAAGAAGTAGGATCCTGGAGCTTAAGAAAAAAAAAATTAAGAGGCTGAATCACAGGAAGGATTAAAACACCCCAGCCACGAAAGGTGAATCTGAGCAGTCTGGGTTCTTGGGGACAACCAGTTTTGTCAAGGGATGCTGGGACCAAGCACTGTCCCACTTCTATCTTCCAGGCCTCAACCCTGGGAAATGAGAGGGAGAAGGGTCTGATTATTAGCTGAACTTGGTTGGGGAAGGTGGAGCACTTTGATGTCAGGTCCAGCCAGCCAGAGGGGATGATGGGCTCCCAGGGAAAGGCAGCTATAGCTTCCACCACCTGCTTTGAGACCTCTCAGCATCTCATGCAGCCTTTTAGGTGGTGGGTTTGACTCCTCTGCATGGTTGTCATGAGAACCTCAAGTCCTTGGGAAGCATTGTGCATGTGTATCCTTTACATGTCTTTAGCGCCGCCCCCATTTTGAGCAGCTGCCAGAGGCCAGGCAATGCTGATGACAACCTGCATGACCAAGTCATGGTCCCAGCTATTACAGAGTGCCTGATTTGTGGACTACCTCACCACACTGTGGCACTTAATGTGCTACTATCATTTTGGGATCAGGGTGCTGGAAATTCTGGGAAGGTTCCCCAGAGAAGCAAGCTTAAGCTAGAGCTGGAGTTCACCAGAACAGGAGGCATTTGTCAGGAAGAGAAGAAGGGTTAAGGCCCAGGGGACAAGTGTGGAGGATTAAAGAGTTTGGAGAGGTCAGACAGACATTAGAAGACAGTCATGCCTGTTCTAGAACTCGGGAGAGGCTGAAGTGGAGAGGAAGCCCATTGGACCTGGGACATGGATGTTGTAGTTCCTAGCCAGGAGACAGCCGGAGGAAGTGACCATTAAAACCTGTTGCCAGCCACATGTCCATCCCTCTGCCTGGTTCTCACATGAATCAATTCCCATGGGAGTTGAACCTTCCCTCTATTTTGCAAACAATCCCCATGAAAAGGTAGCTCCCTGGTAAAACAAGGTAGCTCAACAGGTAAAAGGCAAGCAGGTTATAAACCCATCTGTCATCTAATACCTGGCTGTGCATCTGGCAACCTATGGGGTTATTTGGAGGGAGAATGTCATCTGGAGTGTTTAGATCCCATGAAGAGTGCCCCTCACTGCACCTCCTATGTGCCCTGTGCCTCAGGAGCAGGGGCTTAGTGCTGGAGGGTTGGCCCTGTAGGACACAACTTGTCCTCCCATATGTAGTGGCCTTATGTAAGGTCAGTGGTTGGCCTTAGTGAGTTCTTCCTTGGGCCTGGGAGCCTCCCCTGACTGTAGAATTGAGAACTCCTACGCTGGACAAAAGCACTTTGAAGGCACAAGAGACCCTGGGGGCTACCAAATTGGTTTTGGTTTCACAGGCCAAGACTGGTACCTGGGTCCTGGTTACAGCCATATTCTCTCAGACCACCTTGTGGAGACCCAATGTCTAGCTGTGGAGAGGAGGTAAGAGTGCAGGGTGTAAGGGCCTCATGGGGCTCTGGAAATGTTACCTCAGAGCCCACCTGGAGCCAAGCTCCCAGGAAAGGACTGAACAGCCTTTAGGCCCAGCAGTGGCATGTCCCAGGCCAGCAGAGGGAGCCCAAGTTTGCCAGGGAGCCTCAGCCTGGCCTTGTCAATAGGGCTGTTCCTGGCTAGAGGAAAGAGTCCTTTGAGGAGGTATGGGAGGCAATTGCCGTCTGATGACTGCAGCACAAGAGGCTGACAGGCTGCTCTGGTGTCCCACAATATGGAACAGACATCCAAGCCTGGCTCACTGGTGTGGCCACTGGAGTGCTGGCTTTTGTAGTCACTTTGCAATGAAGTTGTGTGGAGGCAGGAATCACCCAGGCTGGGTTGCTACATTTGTCAACTCAAAGGCACTAGCTGGCCTACTAACAGGAAGCACTATTCTCCCAAGGCCTGGCTCCAGTATGCCACAGCCTGGGTGCAGTGCTACTGCTCATCTTAGACAAGCGATTTTCAACCTTTTTCGTCTCATGGCACACATTAATTAGAATTCTGTGGCATACCGAAAGTATTTTTTGCTGATCAAAAAAGTAGGTATAATTTTGATTCATTCACATGGGACAGCTATTGTTTTGGCTGTCTTATTTGACAGACTAATGTAAAGTCAGTGCCCGACTAAATAGGTACACTTCATGTTTTAGGAATTCTTGCATCAGTCTTAGACCACCAACTTCAGAGATGACAGAGTTCTGAAGATTTTAGAAACTACTAGACACCCTCCACAGATACCATCTTCAGGTTTCAAAGGGTCTAACAGGTTTCAATGCCCACTTAAGATCTAACTTTAGAATTCCAGGTGTGAGAAACAAAGAACACTCCAGAGATACAAGGGCAAGGGCTTAGGACCAGAAAACAAGAGATCCAAGTTGTCCTGGTTCTGCTGCTCATCAGTTGTGTGATTTTAGGCAAGTTACTTGACCTCTCAAGGCTGGCTACTAAGGGCACTCACTGGCTACAGGCTGGGTAAGCCCCCTTTCTACCCTCCTGGGACCGGGCAAAGCCCAGGAGAGGCCTGGCCAAACACAGCTCGTTACAACCTTCCATGGAGAACCTGGCTCCTGGAACTTCTCCCATTCCCACCAACAATTCAATTATTGACCCTACTTGCTGGATTTTGGTCTGGAAACTTAAATTTCAGAAATGCCCCAAGTCTTGAGGTGATATATCTTTGGGAATATTCAATCTCAAGCAACACACCAGGCAAACAGAAGCTGCATTTCCTGTGTGTTGACCAGCCAGCACTCTGGACAATTCTGCAAAAAGGAAATCACTCAACTAAGCCTAATTCTACAATATTATTCAAGTCACTGTGTACCCCCTCCCCCCACCCTCCTGGAACTGGGTAAGCCAATACACTGTACACTGTTTTCAGATTAATGTTTCTGAAATAACAAGCTTCACAAGTCAAGTTCTAAATTTCTAGTAGCAGTGACTTTATCTGCTGCTGTCTTAGGGCAAAAGAATACTCACTAGAATTGTAAGTCAGCTTTCCACAAACACAATTCTGTAATGTGTTAACACTTGTAAAAACGGAATCTGTTCACTGAAAGTAGAGTATACCTGCAGTTTTGTTTCTCACCAATGTCAGCTGAGGTCCCAAACTCTAATTTTACAGGATTCTTGGGCCCCACCCTCAAGACTCCAGTAGGATTCTTTCTCAACAGTTGGCCTACGTAGAGATATAGTACCTAAGAACTCCCAATTACTGTAATAAGACTGAAATGTTGGTAGAAGTTTACATATTACATGGTCTGCACACTGCTTGAAATCCTTCCATAGCATTCCACAGCCCCCCACCCACACACTTGGATGTGTACCTGCATGGAATGATGGTTACCAAGTCATACCACATGTCACAAGCTAAAACCACAGAAAAGACTTTCTTCTAAAACTTGACCAACTACCTGGCTCTATCTACATGGCTGATTTTTCAGCAGGGCAGCCTTGGGCCTACAGTGCTTCTCAGAGACCTGTTAGTATGCAGTCACTAAAAGCACTGCAAATGGCAAAACAAGAAATTTGGGATGAAAGAAGGACAAGCAGCTTATCAGTAAACCAGTAACTAGCACTATTTTCTAAACAATTTTGAAAGTAAGTATTTTAATTAAAGCCTTTTTTTTGTCTCTCAAATAGAGGAGATAAAAGCCTGGTATTTGGGATAAGAAGATTCCCAACTTTTAACCCAATTTTCTCATTCAATACAAGGAGGGCACTGTGACTTGACTTGTCTGAAATACCCAAACCTCCAACAACCTGCCCCATATATGGAAGACAAACTTCTTTATCCCCAAGTCACAAGTGAATAATTACACAAGAGATAATTTAAAAATGCTTCCTTTATTACATAAAGCCAATACAGCTAATTCTAAGTTCAACTGTTTGTGCATCTCTATATTGTTCAAAGGGTTGTGCTGTGATGTTAAAGACAATCACTTCCAAGTGTCATCAGGTAGTGGCTTTCTGTGGGTGTCATCATTTGTCTTACCAGCTCCCATTTCACATACAACTGACAAATTGCTCTAGGATATTAAGAAGCTCTCCCAGGCCCCAGAGTAAACACATACCTAATACTCCCACACCTTAATTGTGCCAGAAGCAATGAAGTTCTGAAGAAGACACAAAGCTATCACGTGTCCCAGCTTATCAATATTCTGTTTTATCATTTTCATTAACAAACTAGTATAATGGAGCCCTAATTTGCATTATAATTGGTTACAAGATACTACACATTCTCCTGAGGACGTCATCAGTGTCAAGATGAAAGGTCACTCTCAGAAGTGTCTCCCGACTAGTAAGGGGAGAGCTTTTCACAGATTCGAGTAGGTGCTTCCTGTATTCCAACTACAGGCTTGAAACAGTGCTTTGCAAGACCAGTGCTGATTATAAAAGTGTACACAATTCTGAGATGGTCTTTATTACACATGTGGTAGAATTAAAAAGACTGCCTAATTTAATCTTACTGTAATTAGTGTTATTACATACATGTGAGACTTATCTTCCATTATTCAGTTTAGCTTGAGAGAATGGAAAATTTGAGCAAAAATTATAACCAGATTATGACCAATTCTCTAAAGAAACAAAGTGATTGCTGAGGTTAACCAAGAAGCAATAATTTTCATATGACCTTATACTGTTTTGTGAACTGCATTACTAAAAATCATGAGCTCAGCAAAAATCTTTACAAGCCAGCTCATTAAAAATAGGCATTTGGTCAGTAAGGATTTAATTTCACACCAATAAAACTTTAGATTTTAAATTTACTTAGGGCTGTTTGCACGTTTATAGAATATTTAATTTACCCTAACAGATGACAAGATAGTTCCCCCTGGTGAGACTGGCCTAAATATATTTGCTTTACTTATATAGCAAAAGGATAATATTAAACACGGAAGCTTTTGATTTGTGGCACTGAACGATGATCTACACAGGGCATCCTTCAAAAGCTACAATTAAGGATCCGCCTAGCTTTTCAGCAATACAAGCCCGATTGAGGTCTTCTGGCCCATTTGCTTGACATTCATGTTTTATGCCTAGGGAGGAAAAATAATAATTCTGTTTAGAATCATGGCAGTAGTTTACCTGTTTTTTTTTTTCTAATACCCAAGGATATGTTTATTGATTTTTAGAGAGAGAGAGACAAAAAGAAACAATAATGTAAGAAAGAAACACTGATCAATTGTCTCCCATAAGTGCCTCAACCAGGGATCAAACCCACAACCTAGGTATGTGCCCTGACCTAGGATTGAACCTGAAACCTTTTGGTGTATGGGACAAAGCTCCATCCAACATTGGCCAGGGCAAATGTCAAGCTGTTTTAAAAGACCAGTTCTAGGATGGATAGAAAAGCTGTGGTATACACAAACAACAAAATACTACACATAATAAATAATCTGTAACTACATGCATGAAATGAATGTCTAACAAACATAATGTTGACTAAAAGAAGCCAGACATCAAAGCACACATTCTGGATGATTACATTTGTATAACACAAAATCAGCCAAAGCTATTTTATGCTGTTAGAAGTCAGGGTACTGGCTACTCTATGAAGGAAGGAGTAAAAGGAAATGTGACTAGAAAGGACACAAGTGAGACTTCTGAGGTACTGGTCACTAAACCAAGAAATGACCATTATAATGTTAATTTGTGAAAATTCACTGAGTTCTACAAAAAGTTATGATGTATGGTTTTTTAAATAGATATAATGTATGTACTTCAGTAAAAATTTAAACAAATCTAGCAATATTTTTCTTAGTTTTTAAAATATAAGTAAAAATATGAATTTGATATTTTGATTACAGTTGATTTAGTCAACTGTGTTGAAGAGTAAGAATATTTACAACTGGCATTCTTTTGTCCTACAAAATAGTTCCTCAGTGGTATTACACATTTAAGAAATCTATCAAGGAAAACTATGTAAAATGTATTAATTGCTTTCTAAGAAAAGTTATATCACCACACTGCAGAATGAACTCAATTATCTGATTATATACAGTAGCTTCTCTGTAAATAACTATCTTTTAAATAGCTACATTGTTCCTGATTTTCCATAATTTTAAGACCATTTCTTAAGCTACTGAAAGCATTATCAGGTCAGCTAGCTTTTGGACCACTTAGGACTGACTACAGAAAGCCAGTGATGGTTTCACTAGAAAAAGGTGACATAGTGGCCATCTTTAATATGATCAGATCAAGTGTATGTAGCAATTCCCCTTATTGGAAGGCAATGCAGAATAAGGATGGTAAGTGGATGAGGAATCCACCCTGAATCCTTTTCAATTGCATTTGTGGAAGTGTTGAAGCTAAGGAGTCATATAAAAACATCAGTTAACCAACTGGTGAATACACTTCTGGGGAATGGCCTGGCATCAACCCAAAGGCATGGAGAACCTGACAAGGCCTGACACATGCAGCAGCAGGTTCCAGGAAAGAAAGCAAGAAGTTTGTTTCCCTAAGTACAATAAAACAAGACAGGGCAAACCTGTTCAATTACAAGAATGTAAAAATCAGTCACAGTAAAACAAACAAAACAAAAACCACACTGGGCCGAGCCCTTATGGCCATGGCTCACCCAGCTGTTTGGAGATAGCTATTTGGAGACTGAGCTCATACAACCTAGATGATCTCTCATTCTACAGCTGAGAGAATCAAGGCCCAAGGAGATTAAGCAGCATTGGTCAACATCATACAGCAGTTAGAGACAAGCTGAGCACTCAGTGCAGGCCTTTGGGCACTTGCCCCATGCTCTTCCCATCATACCAACATTTCCTCCTGGCTGGAAACAGTCAGTATGGTCAGGCCCTCTCATCAGGATTTCAGTCACCCAGTGGGCAAGGCAAACAAACTGGGCAGCTCAAGAAGCGAACTTTCCTTTGGATACAGACGAGTCAATTACCTAAAAATCATACCAATTCAAAGTAAAGCTAGAGATAAAACTATCCTTTCCCATTTACATGCATTTCCTTTTTCAACTTTGTTATGTCAACTACATTCAAAGGCAAGAGCAAATTTATCATTTAGTATGACCAATGTAAACCCATTAGTCTCCATCTGTTATGTGAGAAACTTGGCAGCATCTCAAACTTGTTTAAAACCAGCCTGAACAAGTGATGTGCAACAATGTAGAGAGAACAGGGTTACTAAAAATGGGCTATGTAGCCCCAAAGAGACCAGCACAAGGCAGAGGACACATTAAAAACTAGGTTCAACCTTCTGGTTTTTCCCTCAAAACAGGTAGTGCTTCCATTCTTTGTGGCCAAGGTCCTCCGAAGAAAATAAGGTGTTTCCTAGAAAAGATACAGCCCCCATTCCATGGGCTCACCACACCTTTAAGTATTTGGAAGTAAATCTAGACTATACCTTGAAATTTCTTTTTGATTGCATCCTTGGAGCTTGCATAGATCATTTTACTTTTCAGAGGTGCTAGCTCTGGAGCCCTGGATAAAGAGATCCCAAAAAAGAAAATGGTTTAGAGAAAGTGAAATTTACATCACGTTAAACATTTGCATCAAGTGATGAGGGAGAGTCCTCAGAATAGCCTGGGAGAGTTCTTTCAGCTACACAGTTTTTCAACGTCCTTACCTCTTTAGAGAAAATTGTTATGGTTGGGCACATACAGAATGGCTCAGGCTGACCAAGAGGGGAAAAAGTAGAGAACCACCAATTAAAAGTAATGTTAGTGGGACTAGAATAAAAGAACCAACACTGACTGGATAATTCAATGTATTACCCAATTTGTTTTCTTTACAACAAATTAAAAATTTTTTTTATCAATAAAGGCTTGAGTTTAGGCTAATAACAATCATCTTTATATAAGGTTCTTAATGCCTTTGGATTGGAAAAAGTTTTAATATAGAGAAGTACCAACCCTTTCAGATTAGAAAAAGTTTTAATACAGAGAAGTACCTACAGATTTCTTAATCTGTAAATCAAGTATCTACCACCTCTAATTAAGAAATGCTATAGCAATTTTGGCATTTTTACTTAAAATTGTTTTCTTAAAAAAATGTATTACAAATAAAGTTTCCTTTTTACCTTTCCCCAGTCCCTTCACTTATGTCTAATCTAAGAGCACATTCTGACCTCATGGGTACTTGTTTCTTCCATCTTAGTCTAACATGATAAAACATTTTTTTAAAACTTAATGACAGTTCTGCAATAGCTATGTTTTAATAGTCAATATTACTACTATCCTGCATTTACAAATATTTTTGGGCTGGCCTCATTTTGAATGAATACTAGAAAGAAAGCATTCACTTCACCACTTTCTTCACTAGTAATATTGAAAAAATAACACAAGCATTAACAATTGACAGAAAAATCCCGTCCTATTGAAACTGCTATCTGTGAATGCACCATTTCCCCCTATACCACCCAACCTCAGATCTACCACCACTCCACACTACCAAGATACCAAAGAGTAAATGGAGTGTAGTTACATACTTTTAAGCACTAAATGATTCCATTTCACGGCCATATTTCCAGGATGTTCCACCCTCATTAACATCATGGCCTGGCATGGACCTCACCTAGTCTACTCCTCCCACTGCGGGCAGAGATACTCTAGTCTCGGGAACCAGAAAACGGGCAGCCTCTGTCTCTCAGATGCTGCTTCTTCCCAACTCTAAGATCCAAGGAAGGGGGCAAAGTCTCAGGTCTGGCAGATGCAAAGTACTTTTCTCATGGAAAATAGGGCAGGGGCCTATTTGCTGCTCTGATTTAACTCTGACCAGATTTTTAAAACACTTTAAGAGGTGTTCTCTGGGCCTTTTAAACAGAGACTGTAATGGAACACTCCTAAAGGTTTCACCTTTTCTTTAAAAAAGCAATAGTGCAAAGTAAAACACTGCACTAACATGGAATTTCCTTTTCTTCTATTTTTATTTCCCAAATGTTCTTCCTTATGGAAGATCCTTTTTGTAGCAAAAAAAAAAAAGGTATAAAAACCAGAGGATAATAGTACAAATGAAGGAAATACAAGGTAGGGCAGAAGTAGGTTTACAGTTTTTCACATGAAAATAATACATTAATAAATAATATAAAAATAAACTGTTTTGCATACTCACAACTGTAAACCTACATTTCCCCCTACCCTGAATTCACCAATTTAAAAGCCAAACCTTACTAAATAAGTTTCTTTTAATAAATACAAAATTTTTTTAAAAGCCAAAATCTTTATTTAGCTGCCATATCTGCCACTCAGTTGTAAATCCCAGAAAGGGCAGGGATCTGAACCTGTTTTATTCATACCTGTTTTCCCAGGCCATGATACAATGCCTGGCATGTAATTGAAATTAAGTTTAACAAATGCACCGTCACTCAAATCAGGAATGTGCTCCTTTTGTCTACCTACTTTATGTATGTATGTATGCATGTATGTATGCAGCTGCCTTGTTTGCAGAACTGTAAGCTGCCCTAATAAATGCACCTAGACCTCATATTTATATTCCTCACAGCATTCTGGTTTAATCGAGTACAACAGGCTTGCTGAAATGAAACTGAGGTGTGATCTAGAGTCACATTCCTTTAAATCGGAGTTCTTTTGACTTCCTAACCCCACACCCCAAGCTATTTTGGTGGCACACAGCTAAGAGCTAAACAACCCCTTGCCTTGCCCTGGCTCAGACCAAAGTATTAAGAGGACTCTTACTCCCTCCAAATAAGAGGCTGTTACCACTCCCCTTCCCCCTTGGGAGCTAGAAATAGTCTATGTATGAATTCCATATCAAGAAGTATTTAAAATAAATTAAACGAGGGATACAGGTGTGACACTTAAATCACACATAATCTCAAGTATTAACTTACTTGAAAAGACCAGGATAACTCATTTAAACAGCCTTTCAAGAAAAAGGTCACATAAATCACTTTATAACACTTTCACTATTTTGAGCAATGCTGTCCAGTACAGCTTCCTGTAATGATGAAAAAGTTCTCTATCTGTGCTACCCAATAAGGGGGCCAATAGTCCCATGTGGCTACTAAGAATTTGAAATGTGGCAATGTAATTAAGAAAATAAATTTAAAATTGTATTTAACTTTAATTCCTTTACATCTAAATAGCCACAGTGGCTAGCGGCTACCCTTATGCACAATGTGAACTTGAGCAAATAGCTTGGAGGCAATGACAGTACCAACTTCAAAAGTAGCAAACCAGAGGCACAAGTAAGACTGATTCCTGACATTGCAAGTTAGAGAACGATTTTGCTGAGATAACATTTCTTCTCAGTATTCTAGGAAGAATTTTTAGAGGAATTTTAGCCTCTTATGGGGAGGAGGACCCCAAAACCCCAGAATTTATTCATAAAAAATGTGTACTTATTCTTACATGTTTAAACTCGTCACCTTTAAAGTACTCTCCATTTGATGTAATACACCTATCAAGATGTTTCTTTCCACTGCTCAGTTTTTGAATTTGTTGATTTTGATGTCTTTTAGTGCTTCTACCATTTTTTGTTTCTCCTCTTCCACAATGGCAAAACATTTCCCTTTGAGGACTTTTTTTAAATTATATTTTATTGATTATGCTATTATAGTTTTCCCAATTTTTCTCCCTTTATCTCCCCTCTGCCCTGTGCCCCGAACCCTTCAGCATTGCATCGCCTCCTGCTTAGTTCATATCTATGGATTGTACGTATAAGTTCTTTTGAGTTCTGTTTCCTATACCATTTTGACCTCTCTCTGTCTATTTAATGCCTACCAATTATGCTACTTCTTCCCTGTACCTTTCCCCCCTTATTCCTCTCCTCCCACTCCCCACTGAAAACCCTCCATGTGAGGTCCATTTCTCTCATTCTGTTCCTGTTCTAGTTGTTTGCTTAGTTTTTGTTTTTGTTGTTTTTTCTTATTTTTTTAGATTCATTTGTTGATACGAGTTTGTTGTCATTTTAGTGTTCATAGTTTTTATCTTTTTCTTAGATAAGTCCCCTTAACATTTCATATAATAATGGCTTGGTGATGATGAACTCCTTTAACTTGATCTTATCTGGGAAGCACTTTATCTGCCCTTCCATTCTAAATGATACCTTTGCTGGATAGAGTAATCTTGGATGGAGATCCTTGCCTTTCTTGACTTGAAATACTTCTTTCCACCCCTTCTTGCCTGCAAGATTTCTTTTGAGAAATCAGCTGATAGCCTTATGGGCACTGCTTTGTAGGTAACTCTTTCCTTCACCCTCTTGCTGCTTTTAAGATTGTCGCTTTGTCTTTAATCTTGGGAGGCTGAGAAATTTCTGGGACAACCTGAAACTTTCCAATATCTGAATTATAGGGATGCCAGAAGGAGAACAGTAACAGCAAGAAATTGAAAACTTATTTGAACAAATAATAAAGGAAAACTTCCCTAACCTGGCAAACGAAATAAACTTTCAGGAAGTTCAGGAAGCCCAGAGTCCCAAAGAAGTTGGACCCAAAGAGGAACACACCAGGGCACATCATCATTAAGTTACCTTTGAGGACTTCTTTCATCAACCAACTCACTTGCAGTGAGATCAGGTGAATAGGTAGGGTGAGGCACTGGGGTCATGCTGTTTTAACTCAAAAACTGCTGAACACTAAGCATGGTGTGGGCAGGTGTGCTTGTAAATCACCCACTATGAAATGAGCATATGCACTGAAAGTGTCTTCAAAAAAAAATTCACTGAAGCCGAACATATCCTCTCAAAACATCGCAAGCTGGAACACTGATATAGATGGGTTCTTAGAACATTCACCTAGTGGGGGAAGTCTGTACTACAAGAGCCCACCTTTAGAAAATGATTCCAGTTTTTTTTTGGTCCCCCCTGATATGAGGAGTTCAGAGGATGCAAAGAAATCTATTCCCTGCCCCTTACACCACCGAAATAATCAATTATTCAAAGTCATCTTTCAAGTAAACAAAAAAGTTAAAATTTAGTTTTGGTCTCTCCAACATCAATCCAGCTAAAACCTTCTTTTACGATACCTTGTAAATAAAAATTAAATGACAATGACTGTAGACAACTGGACTGAAAATCACTTTGGCCCCAGGTATTGGTTCTCCAAATGCTAAGCTAACAATGAAATTAACTCGGAGTTTTACAGAGGTTATTTTTTATCACTGCTTACCACAAAAAAAACATCAACTCCTCTTTTCTGGATTCCTTGGTTTCAAAGCTTGCATCATACAAAGCATAGCGACAATCTTTCTCAGGAAGCATTGAGACAAAATGCTTGAAAGGATCAGTTATAGTTACACCAACATCTCCAACCAAGATCTCTTTGCCTTCTTCTACAATGATGCACTTTTTGTCTGCACTGAGACAAAAAATGACAGCCTTCTTTCTTTTCTTGATTTCTTCTGGTGTGGAGCACTTCCTAACTTTCATGTCATAAAAAATGCGACATACTTCATCAGCAACTTGCACTCCTGAGGCCTACAATGAGAAAAAGAAGTCAAAAAGAGGCTTATAATTTACAGACTGACATACACTTACAATTTTTAAGGTATACTTATCATCCAGTACAGAAACTGGGATACCTGAGCTGCAATCACTAACTTCAGCCACTGAACTTTCACATTACATATATAAGCCATTCATCACTATTACGTGAGAGTAAGGGAAGAATCATTTATGCAGCCCTTCCTACCCTAAAACCTGAAAAAAAAGGTACTTCCGAGGTATTGGATTATTTTCTTCTTAAAAAGGTTGCCATTACTGGGATAGTCATCTCCCCAGTTTGGTTATTATTATTACCCCAAATTATATTCATAATGAGTAACAGATGATCAGAGCAGTTGGGTTGGAAAAATTCCATTCCTATGGCATGGCTTTTGCTAATAAAAGAAGAATTAAAAAGTCTTTGGTCTATTCACATTTCAAAATTATATGATTAATATTCAGTAACGTTATTTCCTTAAAATTTCACTTAAACTCCAAGTTTTAATCTAAGATTAGAATAAATAAGATTGTTAAGAGACTAGATCTTAATTGTTCCCTACCACAAAAAGGAATGATAATTAGGTTATGTGATAGAAGTGTTCACTAATGCTATGATGATAATCATATTGCAATATATAAATGTATCAAATCAACATTTTGTATACCTTAAACTTATATAATGTTGAATGTCAATTATATCTCAATTTAAAAAAAAGAAATAAAAAAGTGTTTATGCTGTAACGAAGAATATGGCTTTATTTGGGATTATACTGACAAGAAAAATAAACCTTTAGGTTTGAGATGAGGGAGCAGTTATACAAGATCGTCATAGCAAAAGCTCTAAAACCATTTTTTAACCTTTTAATCTTTAAGGAATGTGCTATTTACACTAACTTTACTGTGTCCATAATTTTTATATGCTTCATTAACTACTTTGGTTTGCATGTTATCTTTTCTAAAGCAATAACTGAAACTTAATAGAAATACTAAATAATGCAAAAACTTTAATGATAACCCAAAATTAATGTCAAGTAATTTGATTAAGAAATAAAAATACCTGTGGCATGAAAAGATTAACGCACACAGTGGGAGAAAACATTTGTAAACCATATATCCAATAATATGATATATAATAAACCCTTATATATTCAGAATACATAATAAACCCTTATAATTCAATAATAAAGAAGACAAATAACCCAATTTAAGGGATCTGAGTAGACATTTCTTCAAAGACAGAAAAATGGTCAATAAGCTCAACAACGTTAGTCATTAGGGTAGTGAATATAGAGCAAACCCACAATGACCTACTACTTCACAGCCACTAGGATGGCTGTAACAAAAAAGACAATAGTAAGAAATGTTGGTGAGGCTGTTGAAAAACTGGAACCCTTATACATTGCTGACAGAGCTGTTAAGCAGTACTGCTGCTTGGGTAAACAGTATAGCAGTCCCTCAAAAAGTTAAACATGCAGTTAACACCTAGCAATGCCAGTCTCCTAGGTATATACACAAGAGAAATGCAGCATAATTCATAGTAGCCAAAAATTAGAAAAAAAAACAAATGTCTATCAACTGCTGAATAAATGAACAAAATGTGGTATACCCATACAATGGAATATTATTTAGCCCTTAAAAATGTGGTTTTGACACATGCTACAAGAGGGATGAACCTTGAAAAACATTATGCTAAGTGAAATAAGCCAGACAGAAAAGGCCACATTTCATGATTCTATGTATATGAAATGTTCAAAATGGGCAAATGCACAGACAGGAAGATTAGGCAGTTTCCAGGAGCTAACAGAAAAGAGGAATGGAGAGTGACAACTAATGAATATGGATGTTGTTTTGCTTTTTGAGTGATAAAATGTGTTGGAATTTGATAGCAGTGGTGGATGCACAACTCTGTAAATATATTGAAAATCCAGTGAACTGTACTTTATAGTGTATGAATTATATCTCAATAAAGCTGTTACTTAAAAATTCATATAGGAATTCTGAGAGCTAAAATATACTAAGATCCCAGAATTTATTTAACATTAAGGTAACTGGACCATTTAATTATATTCATTATGAGCTGATATACTTCAATCCCATCTAATCCACTTCAGTTCTACCTAATCTAATCCACATTTTGTTTATAAATGGACATTTCACTCTAAAATAACAAAGTGGTAAATACAGAAAGTTAAGACTAGAAAATTACTTCCAAATCTATATAATTGTATCACTTTCCTACTTTTATTTTTTTATCCTGACCTGAAGACATGCTTACTGATTTTAGAGAGAGGAGAAGGAAGGTGTGGGGGAGAAACACTGATTGGTTTCCTCTCATACAGAACCCAAGTCCGCAACGTAGGCACATGCTCTGACCAGGAATTGAACCTGAGACCTTCCACCAGTTTACAGGATGACACTCCAACCAGCTTATCCATACCATCCACAGCCTTTTTCCTATCTTTAAAAAGTACTTTTCTTAAACCTCTTACTAAATTAGAAGTAGTACTGTTTTGATTTTCACAGTTCATGTGTGTTCAGCAAGTTAAGAATCTTTATTTTGCTTTTTTGAACAGATGAACAAAATGTTCAAAGTAACAAAATAGTGAATAACTAAAAGCAGACCCCAATTCCTGTAACTCCCAAGTCTATAATGTTGATTTGTTAGCCACACTAGCTCAACTCATCTTTAAAAACATGAAGGCAGTATTTAAAGCCTTATATCTAACCAATCAATATTTAAATTTATCTGTCAATATCTAAGTGAAGTATTTCAAACACTTTAAATTCTGAATTGGAAATTAACCAAATTAATCAGGTACCAGTAACTGAAAACAGAAAAGAAAGTGTATTCTGCAATTATAATGCAACTAATTTCAGCCAAATCAAGCTGTAATTTACAGGTACTTCAAAAGCCTCGGTAAGAAGGGGTTTGGGCTTTTTCTATGAACAGTAGGGTCTGTGAAGGTCTCTGATGAGGAGACACTTCTGCTTGAGAAAATTGACACTGAAGACCGAGAATGAGAAAATGATAAAGACAGTGGAAACAGGAAGACCACTTCTGAGACAGCTACAAATATCCAGAGGAGAAAGTTCTGAACTACAGCAGTGGAGCTGAGAACAAAAAAACAAGTCCAAGTTCATTTCAAAGTAGAATATATTATAATTGAGTGAAACATAAAGTAGCAGCATCAAAGAAGATACGCTATTCCCCAGATTGGTGACTAGAAAAATTGTGGTGTTTAAACAGAAGGGGAAGGAAGATGGGTAGAATTTGACATGTTAATTTTGAAGAATGTGCCCTGGCTGGTGTAGCTCAGTGGATTGAGCACGGGCTGGGAACCAAAGTGTCCCAGGTTCGATTCCCAGCCAGGGTACATGCCTGGGTTGCAGGCCATAACCCCCAGCAACTGCACATTGATGTTTCTCTCTCTCTCTCTCTCTCTCTCTCTCTATCTCCCTCCCTTCCCTCTCTAAAAACAAATAAATAAAATCTTAAAATAAAATAAAATAAAAGTTTACTCAGCTTTAAAAAAATTTTTTGAAGTATGTACAAGTCATTTAGGTAGAGATTTCAACCAGAAATATAAGCATGGATCTATTAGTCACAGATCTATTTAGACTACAGTCAATACCACGGAGGGACCAACATTACGTAGCAAAAGGGAAACAAGTCAAGGAGACTAAGAAGAAATAACATGAAAGCTAAAAAGAAAAATTAAGAAGGGAGAAAACAGCATCCTAGAAGCCAAGGGAGAGTGTTTTGAAGAAGGAGATCATCAATACCAAAAAATGTAAAGCTTGAGAATGTCTGAAAACAGACAACTGGGCTTGACAACTGGGCCTTGGAGCACTTCAGGAGACTGGAGGAAGGGGCAGAAGTCCAGGGAAATGGGATGAAGATTCAAGGGAACTGAGGAGGTAAAAAACAAAGGAGGGTTAATGGTCAAGGGAAGAGGGAAGACTTGAGTGCTAACTATGGAAGTTGTCTTCTCAAAGAGCTCTTGTGGTAACAAGAGAAAGGAAAACAAGGCACTAAAGAGAAAAAGGATACAAAAACCTAATAGTGAGTATTTATTGTCAGACATTTCTAAATTACCAACAAATTCTATGAGAAAGCTACTATTATTTGTTTCTTACAGATGGGAAAACTGAGGTCAGGGTCACACAGAAACTGGTAGTGAAGTGAGATCTGAACTCATGCAATTTGGCTCCAGAGAATATTCATAACCACTCATAATTAAGAGGCAGAACTCTAAAGAGACTGAGGAGATAGCATAGATGGAGATGTTAGTCTTAGTTTCCTCTAAAATAGGAAGAGGGAGGATAACAGCTGGAGGAAGAAAGATGCACTGCTAGAAACTGTGTTTGACAGGCTCTATTTCCTCTGTGAAGTGTAAGCCAGGAGGAGAAAAGCACAGCGTATGAGGGCATACTAGGTAAAGATTTAGAATAGCTGTTATGCAGAGTATCAAAGGGAATCAATCACCTGAGGACAAGCAAATGGGCTCCAAGGACATCAAAAGTTTCAGCTGAGGTCAGAGAGGGTGATGGCAGAGCAATCTGGCAGAAAGCAGATGCTGGTGGCAGGATGGCAGTGCAGGTAGAAAGAAAGGACTCTGTATAATCTTTAGATTTTATCCAAGTTTGAGGTTTCAATCATCTAATCCCAATGACTCACACATTGTTCAGACTTCTGCTTTTCTGAGCTTGCAGCCTTTACACCCAATTTCCCATCTAACACCTCCAGCTGAATGTCTCAAAGGGATCTGATGCTCAGCATGTCCAAAGTCCCCTTCTTGTCATTCTTCCTTTCTCAGGAAGATATTTTCATATCTTTTTCGAAGACATCACCATCCTAGTTACATAAGCCCCAACCCTGAGACATCCTCTAATTCCTTCTCTTTCACCTCACTTAGTTAGCTCTTTAGATTCTTATATTCTCCCAAGACATTCATATCTCTCCCTCTCTGTTGCCACTCTTCAGCCCAAGACCC